GAATCGTTTGCATTAATGCGGTTTTAAAGAAAAGATTTTAATTCGTGAGATCAAGCTTAACTTACTACGAAATGAGATTATGAATTTAAAAAATTAGCCTATTATTTTCTAAATTATTTGCAAGTCGTTGAAAATCTATTATTTATTTACTATCTTCAAAATAAAGAAGGGAAACAATTTATATTGATTCTAAAAGTAATTTTATGTAAATGAAAGATACATTAACTCTAATAAAGAAGGTAATGATGAATCAAAATGATGTAAAAAGCACGAAAATAAATAAAGGCTAACACCTTGATAACTTTTGAACCAATTATCGGATTTTCACTTACTATAACTCAATCTTAATGGTGTGAGAACCTTAACCTTACCTTGAATATGTGAAATTAATATTGGACTTGATATTTTAAATTAAGAAATCAGACACGAAAACGTACTTTCTCTGAATTAAAATACATTTTTTCCAAGATCGATTTAGGTTTTTCACCCTTAAAATATTAGAGGTTATCAGAAGTGCAAAATACGGTCCCAATAATGTAGGCGAAAGAGCGGTCGAAAGTTTAGATCTCTTATTGTTAATTTTACGTTTTGCATATTTTACCATATCTTGCGAAATCATTGACTTACTGTCAATGGAAAAATATTAGTTTTAAAGTGTTTAGCACCTGTTATATTAGTTTAAAAGTGTTTGGTAGTGCTTTCTTAGGGATAAAAAAAAATGAAACAAAATTTTAATGAGAAATAACAGTGAGTCTATGGAAGCTCATGGTACTTCATGCATTGTTCGCTATTATGAAAGAGTTGCAAGAATGAGAGGTCATACTAAAAACGTAGACTGAAAATAGAAATTGAAAAATTATACTGTGTCACTCTACAAATTTCTCTATATATTGTGCTTATTTGCTATTAGTCACCATCTAACACATCTTCTATTTTAATATTGCAGATTTTGAAAATTATGTATGAAATGCGTGTTCGAAATCCAACCCAAAATTCAGTGGGTTCAAAGGTCATCAAAAGGAGGTAAACACAGACGTGCCAATTTACCAAACTAACAATCATCAGTAGTAAGAAATACAACACAGACATATACAGTTGGCGTTTGCGAAATTCAAATTAGCTCAAATTTAAGATGTAAGTACAGCGAGCAAAAAATAAATGACCACCCGGAATAACTTTTTATCTAATGATCGGATCATCACATTCTATGACTCAATCGTAATGGTTCGCGGGGGTGACCTCAAATATTTTAATTAATTTGTCTAGAAGAAATTTTATGTTACGAAACCAAACACAAAAAAGTACATTCTCTAAATAAATATATCTTTTTTTTTCTGGATAAGCCGCAATCTGGGAAATATGGTCCTAATAGTTTGGCCAGGAAAGCGGTTCAAACCGGTTTTGGACCCTTTAATAGTAATTTTACTTTTTGCGTATTTCGCTATACCTCGAGAGCTTTTTAAGCGATTTGAAAAAGTTTTTTATGTACAATTATAAAATTCGTTTATCCAAAAATGATTCCATGCAAGAAATAACTTTTAGTAAATATTTATCATGTTTTTATTATTATTTTATTTAATAATAGTCGAGAAAATTTTGAATTGCAAGGTATTCAGTTTTTACCATCATTTTAAACATTGTAATTTTAAATGGAAAAAATACAAAATTTGAGCGAAATTGATTGAATAGTTCCAGAGAAATGAAATTTTAAAAATATGATTCTTTTGAAATTCAAGTCATAGAACGTGAAAATCAGATCATGATCAAAAGTTATTCAGGCTGGTCTGTTTGTTTTTGAGCACTATCCATCTCTATGACTATTTAAGTCAGGCTTACGAAATTTTGTGCAGTTACTTGATATGATAATCAACGTAATTGACATCAAGTTACAAGCTTATCACTGTATTTTTTGACATAGAGTGTTCCAAAACATATATACAGGTACATATGTATACATATATGTGTAAGTGTGTGTATTAATTAAACTTCCCAATATTATTGTTTTATTGCAATACTTTTTTCTTAACTTAGTATATAATTACTTAAGACGACGCTATTCTCTGCCACCTTGAGAAGTTTCTCTCGTTAGTCACTTTACATTTAAAGTGTAGAAAATGTGATTCAAATAAATCTTGAGGAAACCACAAGTTTCAAATGCTGAAAAAAAATTTCTAAAAAAATTATAGCGTAATTACGCAGTGGGTAAGTTATCCTGCAATATTTTGTTTGCATTTTAATATTTTTTCAGCAATTTGACCTTTATAATTTACTTGATCTTCCATTTCTCCCAACTTTAAAATGCTATAATCTTTGTATACAAAATAGGCATCTCAATGTTACGCGATCTCTCCACTCTCCACACGTTTACCTTGTCCGTTACCATACTTTCGACAAATTTTAAATTTTCATCAAGTCAGTAAAAAGTTTTAATAAGTTTGCGTATGGAAAATTATTGCAACGAAGGGTTAAATGTCAAAATGGAAGAAATCGCGTGATTTCGTGAAGTCTTTTCTATTTAATAAAAGTATAATAGAGGTAAAAAAGAATTTGTAATAAAAAATTTCTCCCGCGGTATAGCGTTCTCTTAAGGAATGACAAAAAAAAAATAATAATAACATTTTGAAAAAAGTTTTTTTTTCCCTTATAAAAAGTAATATTATTTGCGAACATTCTAATGACCTTAAACATTTTTACCAAATCAAAAACTTAGTACAGTTCATATTATTTTTTTTTCAGAATCGTTAAATGGTGGTTCGATATCTTCCTTGGATAAATTTGAGCCCAAACCAAGCAGATACGAATTTAATTATGCTAGTGCCAGATTTAGCTATTAAGCGTCAAATCAAAGGTAAAAATTTACGTACATTTTTTATACTACCAAACAATACTACAAGGAAAAAAAAATTCTAGCACAATCTAAGATCCCTCATTTACATTTTTTCATTCGAGAATATTAAAGCTTAGCGATATTAGAATTCTATTATCGTGAAATATCTACAAAAAATATCGTTTTTTCACAATATAGTTCAGCTAACGTTTCTAAATCATTTTTACTTACGTCAATATTTCCGTTCGCCAAATGAAATTTATCTACTCACAGAATAATGCATTTTATAAAGATCATGATTGATAATACTCCTGTATTATCGTAATCAACATTTATTGCTGTTTATTATCATCATAATATCGTATTCGATCAAACTCGCAACATTGTCATTCTTGATTTAAAAAAATTTAATAATCGTTATCGTTAAAGAACTATATTGCATATTCGATATTTATTGTAAAACATGGTATTAACAATATGTAGTGAGAATAATTTTTAAAATGTCGTTATCGAAAAAAAAATCAATTTTTGTAGAATAAAGTGCCGATCTCTACTAAACACCTTACTCGAATTACACTAAACTAGATATGCAAAACATGTAGAGTGTAATTTTTCCATTTAGTTTTAAGTTCATTTCTTTTTCCAAAATTCAATCATTAGAACCTATGAATTATTAATATTTTAAATTGAGAAAACAAAAGTAAAATCTGATGGATTCTATTAGAGAGTGATATTTTAAATTAGTTTCTTTGATGGATGAAGCTAAAATGTGGTTATTAACAGAAAGCATATGTCTTTTAGTTCCATCTAACAAATAAACTGGTTTCATAGTGTTTTAATCCCACATTTACTTTAATTGACAAATTCAATTCTTTTCAATTCAATTCAATTCTTTTATAATAATTGGATAACCTTTTTTTTTCTCCCAATTGTTTATTTGCAAACCCTAAATGCGTCCTATTTGACAAAGATTCTAAACATACATAAAGAGTAGTGATTTTGAAACATTGGGTAACGAAAAACGAAAACTTCCATTTTTTTTTTCTTAACTGCTTTTCTTATAATAAACTTAATTTAAAAACTGCATGATTTCGATTTAGACGTTTTACTAATGCTAAATGATTAATCAGAACTAAAAACAGAAGATTATCATTAATTAGAAAATTTTAAGAAAGAATTTTGTTTTTTTAGGTTAATAACTAACCAAAACTCTAACTATTATAAATAATATTTAAAAAAATTTAACAATATTAAAACTCTTTATTCAAAAATAATCCAATATAAAAAAAAAATTGTTTAAAAATAACTAGAAAATTTTTGAATTGTAATATACCCTTACTTAAACTGTGCATGGAATAAGCATTTTATGAGGTATTACAATTTTTACAGCATGTTATATATACCTAACAGGAATTTTTAACCTTTTTTTTTCTACTTTTTTACAAAATAATTTATAAAAAATATTCTAATTGATATATTAACTAATGAATGCACAAAATTGTTAAAATAAAAAAGACTAAAAGATTTAAAAATTTTGAATTTTTCTTTAAATTTTAAAAAAAATAAACAGTTTAATTATTTTTTGAAGATAAATTATTGATTATAAGTTAAATGATCAGGTAAAGCATCCACAAAATGAATAATTATACATCTATTTAAAAAAATTGTTGCAAAGGTACTGTGACCCCTTAAAATTAAACAAAAATTTGTATACATCACAATTGAAGCATTTTTTTTACCGTTATTAAGGTTTCAACAAAATAATAAAATAATTTTTCAAAATTAAACCTCTCGGATAATTATTTTTAGATGAATGAGTTTTACCCTTATGAGCAGAAATATTTTGTTTTTCTTGAATACAAGCTGAACAGACACGGTGAGAAACATAAAAAGTGAAATTAATTTGAGCCCAAGCTTTTGACCTATTTACAATCTAAACTTTTAAGACCAGATTGCGGCCACCTCTCAAAAAATTCAGTAAAAAAAAAATAATAAAAAGGTATGCTCTTGTGCTTCATCAGCACAAATTAGTTACCATATTTTAAGATTAACCTTTAAAACCATTAATATTGCACCTCAATAAGTGAAAATCCGCTTTTAAGATCAAAAGTTATTGATGTGTTCCATTTTTATTCTGATCACTACAATTTTTTTACCACAAAAATGCAATGAATTAAATTTCAACAACAAGACAAATATTTTATTTATTTTTTTCACAAACATATCACTTTTAAATTTACAAGACATGATTCACAGTCAATACCTCACAATGATCACAAATAACGAAATAAATATGATATGCACATATATACAATAAACTTAAAAATATCCACTGTATAACAGCAAAAAGGTTTTTGAAAAAATAATGCATTTCACAACACAGCATTATGGCAATGGTTTAACAGCAACAATGAAGCATCTAGAAAAAAAATCAAAGTATTATTACTTAAGAAAATAAGTCTTTTGAGGCATATATCATATGTTTTGTATTCATAATTAATAAAAAAAAATGGGTCTGTTCAACTTGTCCCCTTAAATTTCAAAAAAAATTTTGTCAGAGATAGTGCATAGTAACATCAGATAAAAAATGTAATAGGTATACACATATTTTTTAAAAAATAATTTTTGTGAACTTACAAAGTACTTGTAGATTAGTGATTTTTATTGCTTGATGGTTGCTTTTTCTTAAGTAATAAGAAATAGCAAAATAAAGAAACAAGAAATTAGCAAAATAAAGCAATAAATAATAATAATTATAAAATAAAATCCTTTTTTTTTCTTTTCTTTTATAAAGGGTGGGAGAAGAGTAAAAAAAAGAAAGAAAAAATTGAGTTTAATTCATCATTCTTGTTAGATTGATATAGAAAAATTTGATCAATGAGAGATAAACCACCTCCTTTCTAAAACAAAAATGTCAATGACAATAGCTAAAAAATCCAATTTTCATTCTGATCTTCAAAAATTAAAAAGGTGTGAAAGTCAGAATTTAACACGTTGAAAAATATCACAAAGAGTCACTGCATCTTTTGATTTAATTTCAAACATTTTGCTTGATACCAAAATGTAATTGAAGACAGAATTATGAATATTTAACCCTTTTATTTCTCTCAAAAATTATTTGGTAATGAGTTTCTTGCAAAAAAACTAACCTAAAACACTGATAATTAGATTTTCATAATGCTTTACCAAGGTGCGCAGCCAATCTTTCAACAAAAAATAAGCACTTTTAAAGTACTTTTTAAGCGCTAAAAAATATTTAAGCACTATATACTTTATCAAAAAGCAAATTAATTTTTAAAGGTTTGCATGATCATGATAAAATAACTAGTTTTTAACAAAGAATTATCTTCTTGTTCATATTAGCCACCATAAAAAGACTTTTTGGTTCTCTTTCAGATGTTGGAAAATAAAAGCTGAAATTCAGCATATCTTGCAAAATGCAGCAGAGTTGCACATGAGAAAGCAAGAATCTCACCGAAACCAACTTAATATATGCACATGCAGACCCCCAAGTATTTTCTCAAACCTGTAAAATGATTGTCACTTTCATACCCTACAAACGCTGAAATGCATTGTGTTTGAAAGAATTGTGAAAACGTTGAATAGAACAATGTGAAAACCACGCTTTTACATACTACATGGCGAACTACTGCTGTTGCTACTTCTTCTGTTGCGAAGTGTGCTACTTTTTTAAAAAGTAGAGTAGTGAGTAGAGCAAGAATAAAAATAAAAAAACAGTTTGTAACATTTCCGGGCAACTACTTTTTAAGTTATCTTGGGAAAAAACAGGGTTCCAATTTGATGGCTGCAAATCTTCATAGATCTGTAAATGGACGCAATTTAAAATGCCTCTGTGATCACGAGAATTACCCATTTGGAGTCGTGTATAACTAGTATTTAAGCTAGCCATTACGAATAGTAGATAATTCATCACTTTGGTCACACTTTCACATGCAAATGTATACTTGTGAAACATCGATGTTACTTCAAACGAAGGGAGCGTATTTTCTCTGTACTTAATTTCTCAGAGGAAATTAAAGAGCAGTTAACAATTGACAAAATTACAAACAATTGTTAATTTTCTAGCATTTCTTAAATTGAATATTCGCTATTGAGGAAGGCACCGAGAATAAAGATTAAATGAAAAAATTCGAAAAAAATTTTTTGGAATAACAAACTGGCTCATGATCTGTAAACATGAAAAAATATTTCTAAATAATTTTTCACGTTTAATTTCAGCCAATATTTTATTTAAAACCATTTTAAACATAAGTAAAAAATATCTAGAGCAAAGTTTTGCTCTTTAAAGTCTATTATAAAAAATTAACAAAATATATAGCAGAATATAAAAAATTTGATGGTTGGTAAATTTTTACAATCAATTCAGTTTTTTGACCGGTTGTTTAATCTTTAGAATTTGGTAATTGCCATATGTATTTCCAATAACATCCACAAACCTAGCCTCGTCTTTTCGACCATGCCTACTATTACAATAATCTCACCCTTCTACAAAACTATAGGTCGGGTATAATTTGCTTAAGCCTGAATTCAAATATACAATAGCTTAATTAGGTAATATCTAAGAAATATCTAAAAGGAAACAATGAATGAACAACTTGATTCACGAAAAGCACTTCTAATGTATGGCTAATGATAAAAAGTTAAACATAGGCAGTGTTTTCACTACAGCACGAGAATCTCGCATATTTGTTTTTCTCGCCTTAAAAAATTATTACCGCGAGAAATTCGCGCTTTCTATAATCAATTTCAAACTTAGCAAATTTCTCGCATTTTGGAAAAAGCTTCAAATTACGCCATTTAGAATATAATCCGTTTCACTTTTCTTCCTGGATCTTTCATTATTTTCAACATCTACCCCATTATCTAGCTTCCCTATTTACCAGTATTGTTCAGAACCTTTTCGAACAACAGAACACAACCACTGAACCCCTTTCAGAACACATTTCTCTGCAACCACGTGTTTACCGTAGGTAAGGTTTCTTCATGTAAGACGTTCAAATTTTTTGTGTGCTAATGTAGATGTAATGTAATGTAAGATGGACAAATGCCTTGTAAAGGCAAAATCTTCTATGATGATGCACCAAAAGCATTCAATGCTTTAAAAAATAGAAGACATTAAAAATGTATTATAATTAATGAAATGTATTTTTTTTTTTCACGAGTTTTTGTGTTTTTTTTTAGTTTTTAGAAATCTCACTTAATTTTTTGAAATTTCACCCTGTTTTTAGAAAGGATGAGAAATTCACACCCATTTTTTTTCTATGATGAAAACACTGCATAGGTGATATTAAATACGAAAAAGGTGGTTTCAAATTACCCTTTTTTATTAATTTTCACACCAAAACCTAAATTTCAAGCAATCTTACTTTTATAAACTATTTTCTAATTTTTCTTTAATTAGAATGATATGGAGTAAAAATCAAAATGATCACCTAAAGATATAATTCCAAAATTAAATAAAATAGCCAAAAAAGGTGATAATACTCATAAAATTCTTTCATTTTTTAGATTGTCGTAAATATTTTAAGTTCAAGTTTCATTCCCTGATCAATGAATGAAACTTAAAAAAAATCTTAAGATAACACTTAATTTTACTATTCATAATTTCAAAGACGAAACTCCCTAGTGTATTGAGCCTATTCACAATATAAAGGGATAAACCAAATGTTTATTTTGGTTTTAGTAAGCTTGTTACAGTTTATCCTTGGTTAACCAGCCATTGATTGGATTAACCGAAAACTATATCGGGAAAACTATATCCAAATCTTTCAACAAAAAATAAGCACTTTTTAAGCACTCAAAAAATATTTTTCAGCACTGTATACATTAATAAAATGCAAAATAATTTTCAAAGACTTTGCATGTTTCTGATAAAGAACTCTTTTCTTGATTATATTAGCCAATATAAAAAGATGAAGAGGTTTTTCGGTTCGATATCAGAGGGTGGAAAATGAAACCTGAAATTGAGAATAACTTGCAAAATGCAGCAGAGTTGCACACGTGAGTGCAAGAATCTCAGCAAACCCCCCGAGTNCCCAAACCCCCCCCCCCCCCGAGCTCAGAAGACGCACGTGTGGACTTTCAAGGATTTCAGCAAACATGTAAAATGATTGGCGCGTTCATATGCTAGAAGCCGAAATAGATTGCGAATGAATGAATTGTGAAAATGTGGAATTGAACAATGTGAAAAGCACATGCTTTTGTTCAATACGTGGCGAAAATCGACATGGTAGAGAAAAAAATCTCATTTTCAAAAAGGAAAAATTAAGCACTTTTTAAAAACACCCAATGAAAAGAGCACCTATAAGGGCTTTTAAAAAACGAAAGTCGAATATAAACAAAACACCTTTAAGCACTTTTTAAAAATGCTACGAACACTTTACTTACTACTAGTAAGTAAAGTGCTTAAAGGTCGAACACCTTTAAGCACTTTTTAAAAACGCTATGCGTCATGCATATTGCTACAACATTTTTAAAATTAAATGGTATAAATATATGTAGTTACCCAAGATATCCATTTCCACTCCAGTCATCAGGAATAAGAATCAATGGCACAACCTTATCACTTCTTAATACACTTACATGAATTGGTTTCTGAAATAAGAGAGAAAATTATTTATTGAACACATTTCAAAGATAAGAAAAATATTAACATAATCAATAAGACCCAGATTTCAAGGAGGTACTCAGGGGAAATAGGAAAATGCTCATTAAATCCAAAATCAAGGTTGGTGCATAAACATAAAAAAAAATTAAAATTAATTGCTTTTAGATAATCGTTCTTCATAAATGAAATCTGACTTTGGTTGTTTAACCTTATCAGACGTTGTTCCTTTTAACCCAAAGCGGCTGGGTAAAGTTGAACTAAAATATACCTATGGGTGCACAACTTTCCTATAGAATAACTTTGTAAAAACTGGTTTTTTGAAGCAGGAAAACCTGCATCCGAAAATTTAGAAAATGCCTGACCTAATAATAATACGGTTAAAGTTTATCTGTTTTTTATTTTATTTTATAACTGGCATTGGACATTTGACCTAATTCTGAGCTAACAGGTATCAATGTTTAACTCCAAAGCCTTGTAATTTTGAACCCACCCCAGAAGACAAGGGCTTTCTTTTGCTTTTAAAAAAGAACATTTCGGATCTTATAATGACTTCACAGCACTAGTAAGTAAAGTTTATTTGAGAAAGTAAGTTATTTTGAGTAAATATCTTTCTTTTACCAAGTCACTACATTTATATGCTTTTACCACTTCCACTACAGTATTTTCGGTCGGTGTTAAATATAACATTAGTGCATTTATTGACGTTTAAAATGTTAAACTGATCCAACATTCTTCTGTTGAAACCAGACAGAGAGTGGCAATTTATCTTTTTCCTCCAAGTCACTATCATTTTTCAGCAAGTCAAGTTTTAAAAATTATTAAACCCCTTAAATTGTTTCCCAAAGAACTAACTTTTAAATGCAAACAGTTCCATTTTCTTTGTTAATTGCAGAATCCATAAAAATGGGGTTTACACAATTTTTTTTTTATACCATACTTTGAGTCAGCTTCACTCAGCATCATGCAATCCGTTATTTATAAATGTGAGCCATTGTTAAAATAAAATAATGAGTAATAGCAGTGAATAATTAACAAAGAAAAACATACAATAACTACTATTAATAGCATCTTAGGTGTTGAAATTAATGTGATAAATACTTAAACAGATATGAATTTTAAGATTATTTTATTTAGAACTATTTTACTGACTAATTAAAAAACAAAAAATAATGTATTTATAACATAAAATGGAAATGTCTAATCATTATACAAATCTTTCCTTTAAGGTATTATTTGAACATGCAAAAACCTTTTTTTCCTTAAGAAAAAAAATAACATTGTTTTTACTTTAAAAAAAAACTCATCACCTAAATTTTTCTACCCTAACTTTTGAATTCAGGGTTGCTTATATTAATAAACTTGAACAAAACAACTTTTTAAACTTGTCTTGGGGGGGTGAAGAACATTATGTAATATTTAGACAAAATGAAAAAAAAAATAGCAGAAGTGAGAAAACTTTAAGAAAAATTCACAATAAAGTTTAATTTATAATAAATATTTTCAATCACAACTTTGAAAAATCAAAGATATATAATTCTTCAATTCAACATTACATATTTTAGCTTCTTACAATATTGATAGTTAATTCCAAAAAAAATAGCTTAAAACTAATGCAGTAATAAACTGTTGAATACATAACTTCAAGGACTTTATTAACTAAATTGTATAAAGTTTAATGCAAGAAAAGAGAAACAAAACATAATAAATAGTTTCAATCATTAATATGTTTAATTACTTTTAATCATAAACTAAAATTGGTTAGTATACAAATAATGAAAATAATGGCATTTTGATAGTTGTAACTAACAACTTAAATAACATTAAGTAATTTTAACTACATCTCAAATTTTAAATTGATACAAATTTGCATATTAAAAAGATATAATTTCAAACATTTAATGGCACCAAAACCAAAAAAATTACATTATACATAAATATATTTATTATATATAAACATATGAATTTTTGAATCAAAATTTCTATGTTGGTGTGGCTGCTAAGACATATGAAGATGACTGCTAAAGACAGAAAAAATAAAAACACTAAAATGTTAAGAAGAAGAATGTATAGTTTGTCTAAAGTAAGAACTCCCCTAGCCATTCGTGGCGGCGACTACGGTAAAGAGGTATAACTATTTCAAATAGGGGTGTGAGGTCACTGTTTAGGACAGGTTTTGGCTAGGGTCAGCGCGAGAAAGGTAATCTTTTTCTCAGGTCTATTGTGTTAGCCCAAGAATGAAGAGAAGTTACCCTCCCTGAATTGTGCTATTCTTGTTTCCACAGCAGCAGACAGCCTTTGACTTTGTGGGATAATAATAATAATGTTTCGATACAGTTTGTTAAACATAAAAATTAATGCTTATCTAAATCTATTGCACAAAATTTTTATTGTAGTTTGATGCTTCATTTTATTTGTTTCTGTGACTTAATAATTTTGTTTCTCAAATATATTTTAGCTCGCTAATAATCAAAAAAAATTGTGATTTTGATGACATTGGTATTGTGCTTCCAACATTTATTTCCAGTAGTTTGCAATGTATTTTTATGTGTCCAATAAATTTCAATTATAATATTTCAGAAACCTAAATTTAAAATGCATATTTTAATTACAATAAAGAATTCACAATATAAAATATATACTAGCGACATTTCAAGAAATATATATTAAAAGAAATATAGCATTTCTGTTAATATAAATTTTGACCCTTTTCACACATTAAATTTTTTTTTTCTTTTTAAATTTAGAGCAGTCAGTAACTTATATTTAAATATTTACAATAAATAGTAAAAATATGAATACATAAAAGAATCAGAAAAAATTCTCATTGGCGATAACATTGAAAACTTCAAAACACCTATGTTATGAATTTATATAGTTGAAGCATATGTTCAACAAAATTTCATATGAGTATTCAAAATATAGCATTTTAAAGACCGTCACAAAATGTAGTCTTGTCTTTTAATATAATCACAAATATAAAAAAAAATCAGAATATAATTTAAGAATATGCATCATTCACAGATGTAGAGCCTGAAAAACTTAGCCAGTGTTTTTTGCAAGGAATTTATAGTGCTATTATAATTTTCCAATAGATACAAAAAATCTCTTAAAAACTAACTCAAAGCGAATATTTTCCAAAATTTAAAGTATACTAGTGAAATTACTACTTTATAGACAAAATGTTATTTTGTAAACATTCCAAAACAGACTTATTAATAAAAAAGACTATTGCATGGATGTTTTAAGCTTAACTAACATAAAGATTGTGCAAAATGTAAATAAATTCAGGGATAAGGCATTCACAGGTGACAGAATTTTAGCAAATCATTTTCAAGTTTTATTGCACATCAAAGTTTAAAAAAATAGCTCAGGAAAAACAGTTAATTATATTACATACTGTGTTAACAAAATGTACTTGCATGAAGAAAAAAAAAAGGTTTGTTTTAACTGGAAAAACATTTTATAAAATAAGACGTTGATTACTATTCAAAGAGAAAAAAGATTCTACAGAGGAACCCATAATAAAAAAAATCAAGAAAACAAAATTTTCACTATAATGGAAAATATGTGCTGGTGGATGTGGACAGACTAATTGAATTAAACGATAAAAAACAGGGTTAAAATCCTAATAAAATTTACATTTCGTTGCAGACCTCAAGGAGTAAAATAAAAAGAATTTTATCCAAACAACTTTTGAAGTAAAATCAAAGTTTGCATAATATAAATAAGAACAGGCCATGGAAGATAAATCCACCAAAACCTGCATAATCAAAAGACAAATTAAAAATGGTACTTTACGCTTTGTAGTACAGGAGAGATCCATTATAGGCATATTATCCAAAAAGAGCATTGTCAAAAGAAAAGCCGATTCCGAAAACCTCACAATATCTCATGTTAATATTTAAATAATTTGGCTGAAGATTTAAGGCTCAAAATTTCATTGGAAATTAAAGGAAACCTAACAATGTATATGCTAATGTTTAATGTGGTTGAAGAAAGAAATGTTGAAAATATATTTTGATGCTCAGTTGTCTTGACATTAAATAATAATTAATAACTAGATATACACTTGCATTGAAATAAAAAGTGAGCAGTTACATTTATTGAGAATAGAAATATTTGTACTATTTCCTCGTTATAAAATTGAATTAAAATTAAATAACCAATTTATTTATTTAAAGAGGGATTAGGAATGATTAAATTTATGAAATAACAGAAATTTAAAAGCTAGGAAATATGTAACGCCTATAATGGCACTACATTCACATTTCTATAATCGGAAATAAAATCCATAAAAATTTTAAAAAATATCTGTAGTATTAGGCACTACTACATTCACTTACTTTCCAACTAAAAGTAGTATTTCTTTAAAATATAAAGATTTATTTGTATTATATGAATAACAAAATTATATACTGTATGCTACTTACCCGAATATTTTCCATGACTAGCTTTGCAAGAGATTGCATGTTTTCAAAGTTGTGATACTTTAGAGTTCCAAATTTAACAAGAAAATCCCCAACTCGCAAATCCTACATAGAAATATAGTTATTTCATAAACGGATTGTGACATAAAACTTTGTAATTTAAATATGTAATTAATAATGTCCTAATATAAAAATGGCATTTCCTTAATATAAAAATGCCGTTTCCTTTATATAAAAATTACATAAATACGACAAATATTTATAAAGAAAACCTAAAACGAAAAATTATCATCGAGATGAATCATTTTTATACAATATTGGAGAAAGGAGAAATATTTGGAGGAGAGAGTGAAAGAAACATGTTTGGTGGATGTCCACAGGATTCGAACCAAGGTCGTAGTCGGATACTCTAACCACCATAGAAAAGGGTGTACTCCAGGGTGACTTAGGAAGCTTTATTTTTATATTTAGTGGCTACTGCACACTCCTTCTCCAGTGAGCGAGATGTCTGACTCATTGTCAATCAAGAGCATTTCACATAGGAGGGCGCATGGTCATGAGTGAAGTCACTATTCCAATGGAGTTCAGAAGTTGACGCTGTTGATCCAGGTGATTTGTAGACCTAGAATTTTGAACATCACTTAATAATCAGTTACCTAGTTACTATATTGGTTGGTGGTGTTTCCCTTATTGAATCATATTGTGCGTGAATAGTCTTTGCTATCTCTATGGCATTAAATGAATATAAATCTTCTTCTGTAGGGTAGTTTAAGAGGTGAAGGCCTGCAGCGACTGCAGGGCAGTTAAAAGCATGATATGGTGTGAGTACCACATTAAGACAGTTGCCACAGTTTTGATATTTTCTAGTCCCATCTGCAGAGATTTTCATGTTTTTATGATGTTTTGTTCTTAGTCTGATGAGAGTGGTGACTGTCTTTCTGACTATGTCAAGATTAGTTATTTGATTGGGGGCCTTGATTTTTAACGGGGTGATTTTGCAAAAGTGGGGGGGGGGTGCCAGAGCCTACGAGGAGGTTGGATTTCTGCCTGTTGCTCCGCAGGAGGTATTTTATTTCCCTCCTACCACCCAAAGGTATTAGCAGATGGAGGCATTCCCCGATCCCCCACCTGGGGACGCGCTCTCTAGGGGTTACCAGATACTATATTGATATTAATAATAGAGAAATTTGAAATTATGTAAATATACATCAAAGAATTCAAACAAAATTAATTTTAAGGTTTCAAATTAGTGAAATTAAATAATTTCATCTGTGGTAGTAAGAAAATAATATAGCATGAAAGTATACAAGACAAAAATAAATAAATAAAAAGTAAACAAGGACAATTTTTGACAATTTCAAAACTGTATAAATTATACTGTCATTTTATGTAGGACCAAAAATATGACCTATGAATAAGTATTTTTATTAAAAATATTTCATCAAATTTTCATCTATAAAGTGTAAAAATTTTAATTTTTACACTTTATAGAGTTTCTATAAAAGTTTACTATTTTAATTCTTTCCCAAACACTATACAATTCACTAATTTAATTCTTTTCCAAAGCATTTACTGTACTGAGAGGAGAGTATGAATATATCAGTAATTATGCTTCATATCAATAGATGGAAATTATGATTTTAAATTAGTAAACTAAGAAGTTGAATTGCATAGCCAATCAAAATAGTAAACCAAACAGTCGCATTTTTTGTATTAATTAATTTATTTTCTAACCAATGTGCAAAGCATTGTGGCATAAACATTCGAGAAATGACAGGAAAAAAAATAATCACTTTCCAAAGACAGAACTGAGAAAATAAATAACAAAAATGAACGTTTCCTATTATTTTGTTGACATAATAATCATATAAGTATATCCATTCTTCAATGCTTATAACGCATTATGAACACGCAAATTTAAAACATTTATCTTATTGATGGTGCTTCGTAAATCACTTGTAAAAATGAAATTCTCACAATGTCTTACCAATGCATAGCTGCCAACCTCTAGTTATAAAAATGCAGAAGATTGACAAATAAAATGCAGAAGAAATGAGTAAAAATGCAGAAGATTCGCAAGCACATACTAATTACCAATAAATTTATAAAAGAAGCGGATTTTAATTAATTATTTATTTATAAATCCACTTAATATTAGCAAAAAAAAAAGCAATACTCATCTTTTTTTAAAACAAAAAAGGAAATATCTTTTAAAAAAACTTTCGACCAGCTACTTGATGGTACAATATTCGATTATAAATGTAGTTACGGCCCTGCCAAACGCTGTTACAAGAGGAACAGCGACGTCTGACTTAAAGAAAATACTAGCTATCAGGCAGATGGGTAAAATGCAGAAGATCTTATCTTCTGCGCATAAAAGAGGAAAAAATAGCTAAAATAAGTAAAAATGCAGAAAGCTTCTGCAAAATGTAGAAGGGTTGGCAGCTATGCCAATGTATTTGGAAACAGTAGTTATTGCAAGAATACTTAAATGGCTTATTGTTATTGATCAGGAGTTAAAATACATACTGCAGCGATTATAATGTTTAACATTAGTAAGTTTAAAGAAGAATATAAGATATAGAAGAATATTATAAAATAAAATAAAAAAATAAATAAAACAGCTTTCATATTGATTTACATACCTACAGATGTTTGAGAATAAACATTCACCCATAATGCTGAAACATAGTAAATACATAATAGAAAAAAGTAAATTTACAAATGAATTACTTTTAATGTGCAATAATTAATTATTTTCAGTTATCTCACATTTAATTGTAAATATCATAAGTTAGAGTAGAGACAATATTAGAAACAAAATTAAATTGTAAAACTAAAAGAAATTAATTTTAAAAAAAAGTATTATAAAAAGTTAGGCAACTAGAAGAATAGGTAAAAATGTAATTATTTTTTCCCCAAAAATAATGACAAATAACAAATATTTTTTAAGAAAATTAATAAAAAAATTTCTGACTTTACAGTTAGCCAGGCACAAAGAAATTCAACTATATTTTTTTAAAATTTAATTTTAACTATTTTGCGAAAGTTTATTTTGTTTAGTGTTCAAAAAAATTTTAACAAATTATTTTTTTTAAAGTTGGCAGAGAGCTGCATTATTTGGCAACTTTTCAATTGCATCAAGCTAATTGAAAAGTACCAAAAGTTCTTAGGATACATATAAATAAGAATTAAAAAATAAAAGTAAAACATACAGCTTTCTGTGCAGGAGAATTGTCATCAACTAAATCTACCCTGGCAAATGGTTTGAAAAAAACTTCACGTGCATTCATACAAGATGCAGTTGGAACTATCTTTTCTTCAGCATGCAAAGCAATCAAATCCTCTTCTATCTTTTTTGTTAATGTTTTGCAGTCATTCTGTTTACCTGAAAATAAAGTATGTTTAATCTTAAAAACAGTGTGAAAAATGATTTTTTTGATGAAAACTTTATCATTGTGTCAATTAATATTAAAAATAATATATAAATTCATCCAGGAATTTTTTTTTTTTTTTTTTTACAAAAGTTAAAGCCAGTCACATGATGTAAAGCTAATAAATGACAAAAATATTATACAGCAAAAATATATGGATGCAACCGATATTCAGTCAAAATACCAATAATTGTCAGTAGCCTGAAATTAAAATTATTTGGGAATACTTATTTAGCCTGAAATCATAAAATATATAAAAGAATTTAACAAAGACTTGTAATAAAGAATATAATAAATAAAAATAAAAGTATTTCTGATTCAATGTCAGGCCAGCAAAACTGATATCCATTGCATCACTAATAAAAAGCAGTTTTTCAAAACTTTATAATCTTCTGCTTACAAAGATATACATAAAAAAAATAGCATCCAGAATTTTTATAAATTTTTAATTTATTTATTGGGTTTGGAAGACTATTTCAATTGTTTTAAGTATATCAGTATTGTTAATAACCTAAATACAACTATTTTATTAAAATATCACACTCTTTAAAAAGTAAAATTAATAAATAGTAACAATAACCAGAAAAAGATTTCATTTCTGACAGATAATAGTTTAATTATAACCAACTTATTAGCAAGAGCTATAGAGAAATAAGGAAAAAAAATTCTTACATTAAAAAACACAAAAATACATTAGCTGAAAATTAATTGGTATAATATATAAAATAAACATTTAAAGTTAAGACATCCTAAGGCAATAATACAAAATCACAGCATTTAAGCTAAACACATATAATTTTTTAGAGAAAATTAGTGATTTTCTTTTCATTTAAAAATTTCCTGTTGGCATAAGTAGCAATAAAAGCAACTAACAATTATAACGCAATTTCACATAACAAACTTCTTGAAAACCCAACCAATTATTAGAAAAACAGATGTTAAAAGCAATTCAGGACAGATCAGACTTTAATCTAGACTTGCAATGAATTTTTAAAAATGCAGTTAAAACCAAAGTTAATAAATTAAGGTAGCAAAACAGTGTTTTCACTACAGCGCGAGAACGCGAGAATCTCGCATATTTTTTTATATTCTCGCATTAAAAAATGATTACCGCGAGAAATTCGCACATTCTATAAACCAATTTCAAAATTCGCGAATTTCTAGCATTTTGAAAAAAATTTCTCATTTGCGCCATTTAGAATAAAATCCGTTTCACTATTCTTCCTCGATCTTTTATTATTTTCAACATCTGCCCCATTATCTAGCTTCCCTATTTACCAGTATTGTTCAGAACCTTTAAGAACAACAGAACACCATCCTTCGGAACCACGGAACCTCTTTCAGAACGCATTTCTCTGCAACCACGTGTTTACCGTAGGTAAGGTTTCTTCATGTAAGATGTTCAAATTTTTTGCTCGTTAATGTAAGATGGACAAATACCTTGTAAAGCCAATATCTTCTACTCCGAAACGGACAAATGAAAATGAAACAAATGTGGGTAGAAACGATCAAAACGAAACAAATACGCATTTGAGCAACCTAATGAGAATAGCTGATGAAAAAGTAGATGTAGAACATTTTCCATTTGATGATGCAGCAAAAATATTCAATGCTTTAAAAATTGGAAGATGTTAAAAATGCATTATAATTAAAGAAATGATTTTTTTTCAAGTCCTTTGGCGTTTTTTTTTTTTTTTTTAAATTTTTGAAATCTCACTTAACTTTTTGAAATCTCACCCTGTTTTTGAGAAAGGGTGAGAAATTCTCACCCATTTTTTTTCTGAGAGGAAAACACTGCAAAAACAGTTAGAAAAATCTATGAAAGAATTAAATATACTTTTACCTGAAAATAAAAAGTAATATAACTATTCATTCATCATATTATTTAATAAAAGACATTTAAAAATATCATTTTCAACAAAGACACATATTTTTCAGTTGTTAAAATAACTACAAAAAGAAAAACCAAAATGCATCTAAATATAATTTTTTAGCTGTTTTTTAAGTAATAAAATTAGTTATGCACAGATTGTTTTCCAATGTGTGTTTTTTTAAACTTAATTTTTTCTGGCTTTTCCAAATTTCAATAAGGCTATTCAATCAATTGTGTTTTTTCCCCTCACATGGTTACTTTCCTACATAGTTAAGACAAATATATCTATACATTATTAAATTGATAAACAGTACGAAATTGATAAACAGTATTAAACAAGAAATTTTTTATTTAAATTTGTTCAAGAAATAATAAAAAAATTAGATAGAAATAAATGCTAAAATAACTGAAATGGATTCAAATATTTAATCTTTATAACTCTGATAATATTTTTAACCCCTTCCTTCTCGTTCCCGTGAAAATGACGGGGTGAGGTCTCGTCCTCTATTTCTCGCTCCCTTGAAATGTCCGGGCTGGAGTGTTCAGTAGTAACGTGCCAATAGGAATAAAACTAATTCATTTCTTTTGCCCGGAAAACATTTTATTTCTTATTTTACACACCAGTTGGCAGTACCATGATAATTTAAGGTATTGTAATTAATTTTTATAGTTAGTTAATTTTAAACTAGATGTCAGCACTAATCAAATACATGTATTTGGCAAAATTGACACTTTTATAACGGTTTTCTTGAAATTTAACCGATCGTTAAGGGGTTAAAGTTATATTTTTATTATATTTTTTAACTATCGTTGAACAACTGACCCAATTCTGAGTATACGGCTATTAATGTGCAACTCCGTAGCCTTCTAATTTTGAACCCAATCCAGAAACACTCCTGGATCAATCATTGCGAGAAACTAGACTTCATGGAGGGCTTTTTGATGGAATTAACCCTCATTTGCGTTATATGAATATGAAAACCACAAAAAAACTCACAGTTAGCCTGATGGCAAAGGACTCCAACCCATGATCTGTCGACCACTGTGGATATTTTATGTCAGGCCTGTGGCTGATGCGAACCAGGTGCGGAATTGTTCATTATCACCATGATTCGAAACGAGTTCACCTCACAAGGAAGCTAACGTGCAATCCCCTGAGCCACCACGGCTCTTAAAGTTATGTTTGAGATATTAAAAACACTTTAAACAATGCATCATATATAATTTTCACAAAATTTTGGAAGAAAGAGAGAAAGAATAGGGCATTTAGTCCAAAATTATCCAATTAAGTAATTACTGTTATATTTAGACTAATAAAGAGATCACAAGCAAATTAAAAATTTAGTCTGATACAGGTGGGTAGTAATACAAAATGAAAATATATTTCATAATATTTATAGAAAAAATGTCTTAATTATTTTAAATAAAAATGACAAAAATTAATAAACTTTCAGAATAACACAGAAGTAATGAATTTTCACTTTTGAATTAACATTGCTATAAATAACAAAAAGTAGATGCATTACAGGGTGCGTAGCCAAATTATTCAACAAAAAATAAGCACTTTTCAAGCATTCAAATAATATTTTTAAGCACTTAAAAAAAAAACACAATTAGATAGGATTCGAAAGTTTTTGACAATTTACGGTTTTATTTGGTTTTAACCGTCATGTCGGGGGAAAAACATTTCGACATTGTTTTTGACAATTGTCAAAATTTTAGAATTATGTAAATCAGACGGCGTTTTCATACGCTACAGATTGACGATACGCCGAAATAGATTGGGGTTGAATGAATTGTGCAAACATTGAATAGAACAGCATCTTTCTGCATAACTTGTAGCGAAAATCAACATGGTAAAGGAAAAATCTCATTTTGGAAAAGGAAAATTAAACACTTTTTAAATACACCCAATGAAAAAAGCACCTTTTAGGGCTTTTAAAAAGTGAAAATCAAAAATAAGCACTTTTTAAAAACGCTACGCATCCTGGCATTAGCTTTATAATAAAGAAATTATACAAAGAATCAATTTTTGATTTTCATAATGTAGAAACATTTTCAGAAATTATTTAAAAAATTAATGAAAAGCTATGCAATTTAATATTTTTTTATGATTTACCCTAACTGGAGTGCAATATTTTCTCTAATTATTTCTATAAGAGTTTAGCCATACAACTAAGATAAACTTAGATATATGGCTACAAAAAAGGAGAAAGAACTAATTGCCTCAGCTTGTATAAGAAAACATTATCCCAGCACTGTTAATTTTTTTTATGCAAATTTGTCATGATACGAAAAAAAGTTCATTAAAATTTTAATTAAGTTTGTACTGTTAAATCAGTCACATAAAAATCATAATATCAGTCACAAGAGCTTTTTACCTATTCGCCAAGTTCTGTCTTCCATGTGTAATTTCAATATTTTCTCTTAATTTGAAATGCTTTTTTTTAAATTTAAAAATAATCCCCTTATTGCCTAAAGATGAAAAATGTGAAAATAAGAATATGATGCTTCACTCCATGTCCTTTTTATTTAACGTCAGTCACATTTTATACTCTTATTTTAAATAAAACATTTATAATATTCATCCCTTTTTGTTGTATAGATATTATTAGGCTATTGAGAAACATACCATATAATTTTTTAAAAAATTATTAAATATTTATCAATGAAAAAAGTTTAAAAATAAGACAACCTATCACAATGTAACGTCAGTCACCATTACCATTTACTTCACACAGTTTTACATAAAATTCATTGTAAAAGCAAATAGAACTTAGTGAAAAGCAAATAAAATTTATTTACTAGTTAATAATTAAAAAACTATAACTTAATATATGCATCCTAAAATCTAATATAATAAGGTAATATTGACATAATAGAACAATAAAGTAAAACCACTTTTAGTTTTATTCTTTAATTTGGAATAACTATCAAAACCAAAAACATAAAAATAACAGAGAATAATATTGAGATGATAAATATTTTAAGCAAACAGGGTACTTTTCTGTTGTCTAGGCATAAGTAAATTCAAATATTATTTTATTTTTATTTTATTTAAGTTTTTCGATTACAGCTATTTAATAATAATAAAATAGTTATCGGAAAAGTGCTTTAAATGCAGTTAAATAGGGAGAAATAAATAATATACATGTAAATACTGTTGATAATATTTATTAATTTCCATAGTACTGTTGGCAGCTTTACATATTTGGATCATTTTTTATAAATTTAGGGCAGTGTTTCGTAAAGTGTGTGTACGCATACCCACAGAGGTGCGGGAACAGTTTAGTGAGGGTATGCGTTCTTATGCAAAATATCTTACAACAATCGAAAATGTTAAGCAATTTTATTTAAAAACAAAGCTAGCCATGAAAATTTACGATTATGTATTCTTGTATTGGCTATTTTTTGCCGAGTTAACAGTTAATAATTAGTGGTGTATACAGCCAGTTGTGATTTTTAACTTTCGCACAATTTTTTTATTACAGCAAAAGCAATATCATCCTTCTCACTGATGCAAATAAACTTATAAACAAAACTTTGTACCAAAAAAGAAAAATAAATATATATATAAAAAAAATGCATTCATTTTTTTTATTAGTGGTACACTGAGTTACGAAAAATTTAGAAAGGGTATACAAAAGTCATAAATTTGGGAAACACTGATTTCGTAGATCAACTTGATTTTTCTGTCCAATGAAAATGCACCAAAGGGCAAAAGATCGATTATCTTTTTATACAAAGAGACATGAAAAAAGGACTACAAGTCAAACAATCAAAAATAATAATAAATTACTTCAATAAAAACAAGTTTCTTTACTTACATATGATATCATGGCGAATTTGACGAACAGTAGCAACATCAATGTCACTTCGAGGATAGCCTTCTTCATCAACTAAAGGTTCCGACAGAGTAACATTTAACTGGAAAATATTATTTACTTTTTATTGATAACCAACAATTGTAACATTTCTCTACATTATGATACAAAGTAAAAGCAAGATATGAATCAATACATTAACCTCTTCCTTCTTGCTCCCATGAAAAATGACGGGGTGAGGTTTTGCCCTCTATTTCTCGCTCCCATGATACTCTCGGGCTGGAGTGTTCAGTAGTAACGCGACTAGAACTCTCGGGCTGGAGTGTTCAGTAGTAACGCGGGGGATATTATCATAACTACGGCAAGTTGGCGAAGAGTCGCCGAGGAAGGAAGATAACGTTTCTGGCGGAGGGAACCAGTTTTCCTCGGATCATGACGTTTACGCCTCTTCCTTCTCATTGGCTCAAATTCCCTGACTACTCCTTAGAACTTATCGGTTAAGATATATCAGTTATTAAGTAACCGGTTCCGATTTCTTGTTCATAAATAACGTGTACAAAATATTAGTTCTTGAATAACGTACTCACGGTGTCAGTTCCTAAAGATAAAANCGTAACGCGACTAGAATAAAACCTACCACAGATCAGGATACAGAAATCTCCCCCAAAAGATTGGGCCTCTTTTTATTCTAGTGGCTAAGATCAAGGTATTTTGAACATGCAAAAATTTTTTAATAAATTAAATAGATGTTAGCCCAGGTGGCTACCTGCTTTATACTCTGATTTGATCTTTTTCTATGATATTTTTTAAATTTCTTATTGGATTGTCCGGTAGTCACCCAAACTTAGAGATTTTTATGGCCTAGTTATAAATACAGAAATCTTCCCACTTATTTAAATATGTTTAAAAAAGTAATCATAAATTATTGCTGACAGGAATAATAATATATCAAGAAGTTTTTCCCTTCAATTTCTACCTAGACCAACATTATTTAACTAGAAATAGATAAAATAACTATACGAATAAAAAACAAACGTGAAAACAAACGAATGTGAACTAAAAAATAAGTTTTTAATTTCTTTTGCATAAATTTATATAATGTGTAAAATAATAATTGCTAACCTTTTTTAACTCATTACTCAAATTTATTATTTCTGCCTCAATAATGTCTCTTTTACCAATAAGTTCAACCAGAGAGGCAACGTTCGAGCGGAGTTCGCTAGAGTTAATATGATTTCTTTCATTCATCGCAACTTTCGATGAAGGAAAGCTTTTCCGAAGAATAATTATAACTTCAAGGACACTATATGAAAAACTATCTTTAGAGTATTAGATTAATTCAAAGTGACTACTAATAAATTAAAAAATGACTGCGCAAAACGTAAACAGTTACATAAACATAAATACCAAATAAAGATTTGAATCATAATATGAAAACCCAGACTTCATGGAATCACATGGAAATACACTAGTTCATATTTTACTCAACAGAGTGCGCTAAAAAATTTTCATTTTTAGAGAAGAATATTTATACAATTTGGCGACTGTTAAACAGGTTTAAAAATTCAAAACATATTTTTAAATAATGAAATCTTTATTAAAAAGAGCTATTTTAAAGATTTACTTTGGATAGTTTAAATGAAAATGGAAGCTTAACTGTAGCCGGCGTTCTCATTCACCCCCCCTTACACATGTTGGCTTGTGGAGCTGTTATCTAAGTCAAAATTTAAGAACAAAATCAAAGTTTTAAAAAAATAATTGGCTCCTTTATTTTTGGGCCAAATCGTTTCCAAAAAAGCTATATTTGATTAATGAGTCAGAAGACCGAGAAGCCGACACTTTCGGGTCAACGAATCAAGACCCGCAAACGGGACGAGAAGGAAAAGTATGATCCTGCGAGTTTTCGGGACGCAATCTTGCAAGGCCTCAACGACTCTGGCTCAGATTTGGAACAAGCTTCAAAATTCCTTGATTCAGCTGGGTCTAAATTAGATTATCGTCGCTACGGTGAAACCCTTTTCGATATTCTGCTAGCTGGCGGCATTTTGGCTCCTGGAGGTACACTTGCCCCTGATCTTGATCCTCAAAAAACATGTCGCTCTGAAATTTGTGTTTTTGCAGCTGATGACGGTTTGGACAGTTTGAAAAACTATGCACAGGTTATAACAAAATTGATCCGACGTTATAAATATTTGGAAAAGACGCTAGATGAGGAGTTTAAGAAAGTATTTGGCTTCTTGAAAGGCTTCACTTCTGAACAACGTATCAAGCTTGCCGGAGTTACAGCTATCCTTTTATCTGGAGGCCAGATTAACACTGGTGTTCTTATAAAGTTGCTTCAAGACCATCTGGTTAAAGATGGCATCGCTTTAGAGTTTATCATTGAAGTCTTCAAAACTTGGCTTAATGAGAGAGATAGCAATGCTATTTGGGCTTCCCTCCGGAAAGCTGGCCTGGACTCTAGACTCCTCGAGTTCCTGCCCTTGAGCAAAAGGTCAATTGATTTTATGAGCGAAACTTTCAAGACTCATGGCTTGCCTCAATTGGTGGATTACTTAAAGGCCCAAGAGAACAAGAGCGTTAGAAAGGAGTTGCAGCAGCAAGTTGGCGAACTCCTGCAAAATAATGCCTCTGTGGAAGAAGTTATTAGTATAGTAAAAGATCAAATGAAAAAATATGCTTTGCCGGAACACGAAGTCACCATCCTGCTGTGGATGTCACTCATGAGTATCGTTGACTGGAACAAACGGCAAGAATTGGTGTCCGATCAGGCCATTAAGCACCTGCGTCCATACACTGCTCTTCTTGCTGCCTTCACTACTAGTAATAGAGCTGAGCTGGCCCTCCTCGTACGCGTGCAGGAGTACTGTTACGACAACATGGCATTCATGAAAGTATTTGAAAAGATTCTTGTACTCTTTTACCGGGCTGATGTTTTGAGTGAGGATGCCATCTTGAAGTGGTATAAAGAATCCCATTCATCGAAAGGTAAAAGTATTTTTCTAGAGCAAACAAGGAAGTTTGTCGAATGGTTGCAAAATGCTGAGGAGGAATCGGAGGAAGAAGATTAAATTAAGTGTTAATATTTGGTATACATTCAGATACTTAAGTCAAAAGCAAAACCAGAAAATAATCGCAAATAAATTTGATACCTGGTGCTACTCCTTTTTATTCAAGGTTTTTAGCCTTTTATGAAAACAGAGGTGCACTCCATGTAGAATTATTTTTGTATTGAACAATCATCATGTTAGAATACTTGTTTAAATTTGATTTTATAACAATTTCAATCTTAGACTGTAAATTACTATTATATTGAAACTGAAATACTTTAATGAAGTTGCAGAATTGTATGGCATGCTAAATGTTTAACCTTGTTATCAATATATTGAACAGGAATTATCCATTTTTATTTATGTGTTTCGATATATGTAATTTAGGGATATGGTAGTAAAATGTATACTTTATTTTATATTTTTCACTTTTTTAATCTATTTATATATGTCAAAAGGTGCACTTCTTATGCTTTCATATATGTAATGAATGAAATAAAGTAAATATTCATAATTGTTTTATTAAGTATAGCGTTTTATTTGAAATATTTGTTTTACTTTTTATATTGGTTTCTAAAAAGTTTAGTCTCCTTCTAGAACTGAGTTTTTACTGCGTCAACGACAGTATAGTAGAGGTATTAAGGGGATAGAGTTTTGTGCTGTCGGGAGAAATAATTATTTTTTCTTTCTGCAATTAGGAAACAATTATGCATAATTTTTACACTTGAATCAATTATCTTTCATGTTGCAGGCTAGTGGTGTTGTAAGTATTTGTAAAATCAATTTTAAGCTCTAGTTTCCAAAAAACCCTAATTCATTTTTCAGCTTTGAGTAAATAAGACCAAAATATTCTTTCAATTGATGCTAAGCTGAATGGACTAGATTTAGATGCACCAAAGGCAGGGTCTGATTATAGCCTAGGCCCCACAATTTCTGAGGGACCTCAAAAATTAGTAAAAAGTCTAATGACTGGTGGGCTAGCTATGTGTTGGTTTAAGTTCTAAATAAAAAATAATTCAGCTAATCAGTGACTTTTAGCAATAATCACTGATTTCAATTGTTTGTGGTCACCAAGCTATTTTTATTTTTACATAACATTGCTTTGTTGTTTTATATTTTGCTTTAATTTATAGATACATAAACTTCATCTTAGAAAAATAATCTTCAATTGTCTGCTTTCAAAATTTCTTAGAATCCTTCTCTTGAATCATGCAGTTTAATAGATTCTTTTTCATTATTAGGACTGCTCTTTAGTTTTTTGATTTCAAAATATTTTGTAAGGGGCCCTGAAAATTCGATGGGCCTGAATTTGTCTTGATTGGTCCCTGACCAAATGTATTATAACTTACTAAAGTAGCATGTATTAGGAAATTTATTCTAAAACTATACTTAATATTCTAATAACTTATTTAAACTGGAGATTCTCTGCAGATTGGTTAAAATGATGTAAGTGCATGTCTTCTGTCCTGAGGGCTGAAATCAGAGTTAGGGAAAAAGTCAATGATCTGAATTGCATAATACAATTAACATCATTCCAATGTGTTTTTTGAATTTTTAAAATCAAAATTCTTTTTCCTTAAAAATTAACAAATTTTTGTAATTACAAAATAATAAAATGATGTGACACCACAATGAAAGAATTGGAATGAAAAAAACTTCAGTATTGAATTTGTTTTTTCCCTCTTTTTTTTTAAAAAAAAATATATATATTCAGAGGAAAAATTATAAATCTGGATTATTTTTTAAAATAAAAAATTTATAGAGCTAGAACTAAAATTTTATTAACTGAAAAATATGTTGAGTAGAGATCTGAATGGTTCCAAGAAATAATTGGTCATTTATTTTTCAGCAAATGGTCTAAAAAGAGATACAAGGTAGTTTTTATTTTAATTGCAGTTAAAAAATTCATAGTTTTTTCTAAGAGAAAAAATGAACAAGTTATTGATATAATATGTGGACCATCCTCATGGATTTTGCAATCATTGAGCAATATATTTCTAGCTATTCTGTGCTAGTTAGTAAAAAAAAAAATTAGTTCAGTCTTGAAATTTTTTTTTTAGTGGCACCCATGGTGAGTGAAGGATATTTCAGAAATTAGCAGTTTTAGTGTGAACAATATTAAGAGCCCTTTACTCTTGGATTTTAGGTTAAATATTTCATTTGTGTTTTCTCTAGGTACTTTTTTAGTACTTTGGATGATATATAATTATTAGACTGCTCCTTTCAAAAAGGGTAGTAGAAAGTTACAGGATTGTTTAATTAGATTAGTGCTCAATAATTTTTAGAACTTCCATGAATTTTTCTACAAAACTTTAAAACAATAAAATGATGTGTGTTTTCCAGTATCTTATTACAAAAAATTAAATATTTCTGGAACAGTGCTTTTTTCTTGTCACTACCTTAAAATAGCCTATTTGTAGAGGTTACCTACGAATTTAACAATTGTAAAATGTGTCCATTTTTATTTTTTGTAAATTAGATTTAGTTTATTTCTTGAATATATGATTTATAAGTAATATTTATGTAGAGAGCGTTAAAAAATAAGTGAAACACCCTAAAATAACATTTTAATCTAATAGTTAGATTTTTAGGTGCTTGGAATGAACTTCTAAATGGTCAGAGGAATGACCACAAATATACTTAATTAGTCAGTGCTGACAAGCTTAAGTTATAAAATCAAATACATCAGAATAAAAAAAAAAAATTTCTTTCAATGGATTTGGATACCTGGCTCACAAAATTAGAGGTAGCCAGAATCTGTAAAATATGGTACTAATAATTTGTGCAAAACGGTAAAAGAATTAATGTTAGTTTTACTTTTGTGTATTTCACCATATCTCGAAAACTTTTAAAGCAAATTGAAAAGATTTTGCACACTATAATTAAACTTGTTTATTCAGAGATAATTCCATTCAAAAAATCATTTTTAATACTTATTTATTATATATTATTTAATAATAATCTAAACATTTTTGAATTATAATGTATATAATTTTGTCATCATTTTGAAGAAAGTAATTTTACATGACAAAATGTAATATTTGAGCAAAATTGGTCAAATAATTCCTAAAAAATCGAATCTCTATTATACAATTTTTTAAGAATTCGATTTAGAAATTATACAGCCCATTTCGTTCAAATTTTGCCATTTAAAATTACACTCTTTAAAATATTGTAAACATTTTTATACCTTACATTTCAAAAAAAAATTTTGTATGGAATTTTCTTTAATTAAACAAATTTTATAAATGTGCAAAAATTTTGCAATTTGCTTAAAAAGTTCTCGAGATATGACAAAATATGTTAAAAGTAAAGTTAACATTAATGGATCTATATCGCTCTCCCTGCCAAACTATGGGGACCATATTTCCCTGACTGTGGCTTCCACCCTATTTTTCGAGGAACAGGAATCCAAATTCTGCAAGTTTATAAGTGTAATTGTCTGCCCTAATTAATTAGCACTACCTTGAACCATTAAGATTGAATCCTAGTACATGAAAACCCAAACATTAGATCAAAAGTGATTCAGGATATTTCGTAAATTTTTTTATCATACTGTACATCTAAGTAAGAAAAACAAATGTTGAAAATCGAAAATAAATTTCACAATGTAAAATCACATAATTAGTGATGACCACTTTAGTTTTACTTAGGCTAAAAAATCTGCCCAAATTGTGGCATAGAAGTATAATCAATATTTAAGATTGATAACATCTCATTACCTGAAATATGAACTGAATAGTTATCTAACAATTAATATTGATTTTAAAGTATTATTAGTACCATGTTTTTAGAAAAACCAGTTAATAATTTTGTCTATTGTTTTTATAGATATGTTAATATGAATCTTAAGTTTAGTAGTTATTATAATGCAAGTATTGCGCTTAATTTAACTTCTAATAACAATCTCCTTCAAGAACTATTTTAAATAATTTCTTGCCTTAGATTTTGACAAGTTTTTGAAGTGTCTTGTCAAAAACCCATCACTGCCAGCTGGGTAGGTATCCACTTTGATACATATAATCATGCTTTGTAGTTTTCTGCCAAAGCATATCCTATATGTTATTTGACTACTTTTTAGATAAGTATAATTTCTAATAAATTTTGTAAAACAAGTTAGTGAATAACGAAATCAATAACAATTTTTACCATTCTGTGAAATTAAAATTATTTATTTTTAGGAGCCTCATACTCCTTGAATAACAATGTGAAGGGATATGTGTATAATTATTAGTGCCAAGAAATTTAATTTAGTAAAAATAATTCAAACATTTATACAAAGTACATGAAGGCTGAAAATTTTTAACCAAACTTAAATTTTTCTGCTGGAAAGAAAATTTTACACTTGAACACAAAGGTGAAAGAAAGAAATAACAATGTACAAAAGTTTTAAGAACAATAATTTTCAATAGGCTGATAATTGTCGGAAATTAAAAATGTTTAAATTCCCTGCCTTTTTTTTTTCAATGTTACAATAAATCTGTATTCACTTTCAATAATACTTAACATCCATTCCTGCTTTTTACAATAACAACCCATTTTACTCTCATAACTTTAGTAAAAATTTCTGAATTTTGTGCAGAAGAAAAAGACTGATTTAACCAAATGACTCGCAAAAATTTTATATTCAAAAGAAAATTTTAACCTTGAAGTTAGAATTTAGGGAGCAAATTATTGTTTAAATTTTTCACGATTGAAGAAAAAGATCTCATGATTCTATGTTTAGCATTCATAATTGCCTGACAATTATAGGTAAGTTGTTACTTTTAACAATATGAAGATCTTTAAACAAGAGAATTGAATATCTAGAATTTCTTTATTCTGACCAGTAGAAATTTGAGATTGTCATCGATTTTGTTCTTTGAAATCCAAACTCTAGACTAATATCTGACAGTAAAAGGCTTTAAGGTTAGTTATGGTTTATAATTAATTGAAAAATGCTTTATTGGTAAATTATAATAACAGTAATGTAATATTTGGTCTAAAACTGGAATTTTTGCAGATTTTTTTTTTATTTATTTATGCTCCTTAAGCGATTTGCCAAATCTGTTTTAAAAATCAGCATTTGAGCAAAATTATACAAAGCTTCTGTCAAGACTGCAAAGTTGATAATTTTATATTACAAATAAAGCATTTTTATTTTCAAAACTTAACTTTAGAACAAAATACACAAGATTGTTTCAAAAAATAATATAAAATACCCAATTTTTTCATTGAAATTAAAAGAAAAAAATTATTGTCCCAAAAATGGTAAAACCTTCAGGACATTATAAAATACTAATAACATCCAGTATGGTTATGGACAGCTTATATCTGTAATAATAAACATTTAATGATATGGTTACAAGATCGCTAAAGTTATGGATAAAAAATATATATTATGCAGCACTTATTCTTATTTTAGGCTTAAAAAAGTTTTTATCAGATAGAAATGTAATTAGCTTTTCTTATTGTTTCATAAAAAGAATAATGTTGGAAAATAATGGAAATTTTTACACATTATTCCCTTTTGCTTCTAAGAGCTCAAGATTTTTATTCTTAACTCAAATTTCTCTTAGTACAAGAGCAATGAAGTTAAACAATAAAAAATTCACAATCACAATATTTTAACTTTAGATAAAAAATAATAATGAATGCTGCAAATTGGTCCAGACTTGCTTAGTTAGGTTACATAAAGAAAATTTCTCTCCAAAGGAAGAGTGAACAAAACTCTAAACTATGTAATTTACATTAGTAAAAATGAACTATCTTGTAAATATTATGCTCGGTTCTGATAAATGATTTTCACAATATATTTAAATTGATTAACATATTGACCATTTGATTTTGACAACTATTCTTAGGCTGAAAACTGCTTTCATTAAATTAAAGATTGTTCGAAAATCTAATTTCTAATAAATAAGTATAGCATCTTGTAATTTTTTGAAATACTATTAATCTTTCATGTGTACAAAAATAAATAAATAAAAGACATATTTAAAAATCAAACTAAATAGAAAATTGGCCAAACAATTTAAATGGGAAATCTTGAACAAATGAATATCCTTAGTTTAGTAAGTAAATAAGAAAATTTCAAAAATTGTCTATTATTATGGTCACNTGGAAAATTTTTGTGTATATAGTTAAGCCTAACCTTACAGTTAGATACCTCACATAACTAAAATTTTCCATGCATGCAATGAAAGAATTCACTTAATGGCTGATGGAAATCTGCATTGAAAAAAACGTTTTTTAAATCCCCTTAAGTCATTTTTCTCATGTCATAGTAACAAACAATTATATTCTGTTGTAACAAACAATTATATTGCTATAACAAACAATTATATTGCTTGAAGAAAGTTTTTGAAAAGAAATTTTATATTCAATTAATTTCTGTAATCATTAGGCTATTCTATCAATTAAGCTAAAATAGTTTACAGCTATGCATGCTTCCTAGGTAGCATGTTATTCCCAAACAGACACATCTGGATGAATTTCTCTCTCAGCCTGAAAGTAACTGATTATACAATATAATATCTGATTATACATATCACTGATTATATATAAAGGGAAAAAAAGAAGTTATTTTTTTATTAAAATTCTGCTTTGGTATAAGTTTCTTGCATTTAAAGACTGATAAAATCTACAACCGGAGTCATCTTTTTGCATGATTAAATCTTTAAACAAGCATTAAGAAGAAAAATTCAGATTTAAAATAAACTAAGCTATTCTGGCTCATTAAGAATAAATCTCCATAATACATGTAGAAATGCAAAACTCTATTGTTTGATTTGCAATAAAATGTCCAGAGAATATTTTCATTAAAACATAACAGTTATTACTGCATAAATAGATAAGTGTATATCTTTGTTTGGAAATAATAAAAAGAAAAATATCAAAATAACATTTTTAATAGTTTAACTTATAATCTTAAAATGTTTAAGTATAAAATAAATATAAAAATATCAAATGTCTTGGAACAATTTATATTATATACATATATGTCTTCGGATATATATTTAGTTTTAATTGACTTTACTGATTATCAAAGGAAAATACTTTTTTTCATCTAACTCAAAGAGTTTATTACATAAAAGCAATTACTTTTACATAAAATTGAGATAATAGGGACAACAGAAAGGAGAAAAAACTATACTTTGTCAAAACAAAATATATATTCTCAACTATAGAGCTTTTGCTACTAAAGTAATAAAATAAGTTAGATAATGTCATTTCTTATGATTAATTTAAATTAGAGTGCTGTTCGATACAAAATAAGCCACTTTTTAAAATAATAGCTGAATTTTATTAATATTAATAAAACACATATTAAATTGATGTATTAATATTTTTGTTCTTCAGTCATTAAGAACACTTTGCAAATTCAGGATTTGTGGATTTTAATTCCAAAATTATTTTAAAATAATAAGCGCAATAACTAGCTTTCATTAAGTTTGATTGTTTCGCATAATACAGTTGATATAATAATTAATATGAATTTAGCATTAAATTTAAACTTACTCATTACGCTTAAACAGTAAAAAACATAACACTATACACAAGTCACTTGTTTATATTGTGCTTTTATTGTATGAAATATTGAACAAAACATTAGCTTCAAGCTGTTTTTATTAATATATTACAGAAAACTTATTTTTTCATGTAATGCTAGTTGACTTCTGGTGAGATTAGAGAGATACAAGACCATCAATAAGTCCTTCATGTTGGAATTTAACATTTCCTGGAACTCCTCGGGTGTCATTTGTGGAACACTCTGTACAANCTATGTCAAAAAAAAAAAAAAAAAAAAAGTTAAATAAAAAAATAAATAATCGAAAATAATCAAATACTCAAAATATAATGTCATAAAATAAAAATAATAACAATACGGAATTTAATTACAACTAATAATTCAGTAAAATCATTGTACAAGTACAATGATACATATTTGGTAAAAATATTGCCAGGGGTCTGTGTAGGTTTTTCTGAGAGGTACCTATATTGTGAAAATTTAGACCTAATTTGTGAAAATTAAAAATTATATTTAAAAAAAATCAACACAAAAATATGGATTTATCCTTTCTTACGTGATACAAAAATAAAATATTAAAAAAGAGTATTTTGTGAAACTACCGCTTTTCCTAAAGTTGAATTTGTGAAGGAACCGCTAAACGGTAGCAAATTTGGCCTGGACAGACCCCTGATTGTAAGCATTTGAAATAAAAATGAATATTTCCCCCGAAAGAAATTTATATGAAAATTAAGAAATATATATATANATATACACACACATACATATACAGTGCCTGCTGTTTAATGTCATTGCACGATACCTACAGAATTAGATTCCAATAGACAGCTAAGTTCACAAGCAAAATAATATCTTCCAAAAATGAATGAGATAGCATTTTCTCAGTTTTCCACAGCATTATAAGTTTAATACATAATCGAATTGCTTAAAGCAAATCTATGTAAGATTAATTTTAAAGAGATCTTAATTTTGTAAGTAAACTACCCTATTATCGTTCCTATTTAATATTTAATAACAGATAGCCTATTTTTACTATGCATAATTGTGGCAATTTTAAATAAGCACCTTCATGTTGGAATTTAACATTTCCTGGAACTCCTCGGGTGTCATTTGTGGAACACTCTGTACAATATCCATTAAAGTACGCCCCACAGAATTATCAGCAGGTTTTCTGTTTGCCTAAAGAAAATAGTAATTCAGTCAGTATAGTTAAAATCTAAATACTACATCAAGAATACTAATTCAGCGACAGCAGCACTATCAAGGATACATAAAAATTAGCAAATTCATCAAATTAACAAATTTGAGTTTTTCATATTCTATAGAATAACTGCCAAACCACAGAAAAATTTTTTTATGAAAAACAAATGCTCACAAGTGCAGTTTATAAAATTAATAATAAAGATAAAGGAAAGATTCAACAGATGTTCTTAAAAAAGACTTATCAAGACAAAATAATAATAGTAGAAAACTGAATTTGTAAATTGGAAAGAAAGCAATAGAAGCAATAAAAATATAAGAGAAAAACAGAAAATACAACAGAATTTTTTTTTTTCATAGATAGTTTTTTGCAATGACTTGCAGTTACTTAACTACTTAATATTCATTATTTTTTTTTCAGCTCAAGCTGTATGGTAATGAGTCTTGAACAATCGTTAAACAGGCATAAAATACTTTAAAATACAATTCAAAAAAATTTTCTGTTCTATTTTTCTAATGTAATGGAAAAGTAAATTCGCTTTATCATTACTCATAATTGATGCATGACATGATTAAGGAAACCCAATAAGAAAGGAAAAGAGGGGATGGGGGAATTTAGCTTTCAACAACAATTTGAGAAAATTCTACATTTTTAGCAATTTACTGGAAGCTAAATTCTTGTATTTAATGAAAAAGAGCAAAGCTCTTATCAAAATTTTAAAACCCAATCTGAAAAAGTAAAATTATTTCTTAAATATAATTAAAGTTGAAAAGATACAGATTCTCAAAGATAACTAGAGATACTAGATGTGTTGAAAAAACTAGATTTGTTGACAATAATTTTAAAATAAATAAGAAGGACCAATAAAAAGTTATCATACATGAAACAAAATACAACAAATTATAACATACATGTTATACTTAATTTTTAAACAGAAAATATATTGACATTTTTTGTAGCATTGAATATACCTCAAATTTTTTTTTAAAAAAGTTAATCATAATGTTTTAGAGAATAAAAGGTCTAAATAAAAGATGTATCACAAAATTCTCTTTAATAATTGTACTATTTTTCACCTTTACACAAAATATTTATTTAAAAATATAAGTAATACACTGGATATTAGATCAAAAGTAAGTAATTACGGATTTTGCATTAAAAAAAAATTAGAAAGAAGCAAAGAATAAATTTTTAGAATAATAAAAAAGTTCATATATAAAGAAAGGGGAGAATACTTACTAAAACATCATCAACATATTCAATCACCACAACTGATAGTTTCAGCATGTCAAGAATTGCATTGTTGATTAAATCCAAATCAGGTAAAATTTCCGCACTTCGCTGTTTGTTGTATTTAGTTTGCTGGGCCAGTTTCACTGTAAGCGAAAAGTTAATGTAATTCAAATATATTTAAACAATATAATTATAATCAATGGACTTTAATGTTAAATATAATATATTCATCAATTATAATATGTTAAAACATTCATTTTATTGGGAGTAGCAATTTCATGACAGTGTTCGTTTAATAACCTTTGTTTGCTAAATTTAACTGTGGAATACAGACAAATTATTGAAACTAATCAAGAAATGGGTAGAGTAAAATATAATAGGAAAAAATAAGATGATCAAAGACATATACAAAAGCACAATATACTTTATCACAATTGGGTGTTAAATAAAAATAAAAAATTTCCTTTTTCTATTAAAAAACTGATTCCATTCAATAAAAAATGGGTTATCTTCTACAGAATTGGGTTTTTACTAAGAATAATACTAAGGAAACGAAAGGTGTGACTTCAAATGCTAAAATAAGAAGCTATTCATAACTACTCAAAAATTATATGCATATTCAATTTAACTTAAGTGTAAAATAAATTATAGTTTAAAAACTTTTTTTAACGTATCAAAAAATATCATGAATATATGAAATATAATATCATGAATTATTGAAAATAAATTAATAACATTATGATTCAAAAATGTATTTTAATGAATGTAGAACAGATGAAGTGAATGTAGAAACATTAAAATAAAGAGGAAAGTTCCAGGTCAGGAATCGCTTCAATAAGAAATAACAAATAGGCGTTAATTAACGTCAATTTCAATTAAGAACATATAAATCTGTGTGGTTTGCCAATCGATATTCTGGCAATTATGTTACAAATTTAACATGGATTTTAAGCTCTCGATATTTTAATTAACCAATATAACAAACCAAAAATACCTCATCAAGCATTTCCGTTATTAACTAATTCTCAATCCACTCAATTAAAGAAGATTCCACAGTGAAACAGCTTGGTTTTGTCAATCCCTTTTTCTTTTTTGGCAGATAAAAAACAAGATTTTCATGCATGCATTCAATTCCATGTTGGATTTTCACACACAATCCGATGTGGATTTATGACTGCATTTTCGTCAGTTATTGTAACATATTTTCATAGTTTTTCTTTATTACATTATCATACATGGGAAATTTTGAATCAAGCAATGAATAATCACTTTTTGAGGCACTCGAATTGTGACGATATTATTCTCCACGTGGTTTCGTTGTTTGCATTTAAAACAGTTTGAGATTTCCACTTACATTTTAAAATTTCGATTTCATTTTTAAAATAATACTATTACAACCCGTGAGATTAATCGTTAAAAAGGATCATACTTCCCACAAGTTCAGGTTCATAGCCAACAATTTCTACTTTACATGGAGTAAACATAGTTCCTGTATTCTTTCCAGGGACCCCAAAAGACGTGCTGAAAAAATAAAGAAATATATCGATTAGTGGCAGCTATACATAAAAATGTTTATTTGCACACTTGCAACAAGAATTGTAAAAATCAAAACAACCATCAATTTTTAAAATATAAACAATGGTAAGTAAGTTTTGCAACAGTTTAAAATTATCATTGCAGATTCTTGATACAACTTTATTCATAATTTAAAGGATCATACGTGCTACTAAAAGTGCACAGTTATCTTTTTGCAATCACAAATTTTTTTTTTAATNTTTTTTTTTTTTTTTTTTTTTAATTGTCACATATTTAAACTCACTAAAGCACACAGAAGTGTACTGATAACAATATAACATAGCAAAAATATATATATGAAGTCTAAAAACCAATGGCCAATTAGTAAAACTGTTCTAAGACTAAATTTTAAATAATTTTTCATGAGTATATCAAAACAATCGTTTTTAAAAGCTGAACTTTAGTACATTTCATAATTAAGGTAAGACGGGATAATGTGGCTTTAAACAGGAAAATTAGTTCTGTATTAATTCTAATTCAACTAAATTTGCATTTTTAAAAAGAAGTGAATAGAAACATAAATTTGAATCAGCGTTTTCCCTTAGCATGCCTGGAAGGGTAGGGACGCCCTGCCCGCCCTTTGATGCCTTTTTGGTAAAAATAAGCTGCCATCTTATAAAAACACAACCTTTTTACTAATATTCCATTAAAAAAGTAATTCATTGTTTAAATTATATAATTACACACTGACAAAATAATTAGTGTTTTTAGGTGTCATTCTGATTACTATTACAAATATTTTTTGTCGGAATTATTTTTAACTGGTTAAATTTTTAAAAGTTTCTCATTTTCTGAGGGGTATATTAGAGAATTCAAGTAATTTCAAGTTTTTAAATTATTTGTAAATACTTTTTTTTAAAAAAAGGTATTATAATTTTCAGCTTAAATTACAGAAAAAAGCTTTCATGTTATTTATTAATAACCATTTTTTTTTTTTTTTGAAAAAAAATTTAACACAGTGATTGTCTTTTAGCATGTCTTTAAGTATTTTTATAGACTACAAATTTTTCTCTTATTTTAATAATGAGTGAAAATTACTTTTTGAAATACACACGTAAAATAGTATAAGAGGGTAATTTAAAAACTGTTAAGGATCAAATTCAGTTCTTGCATATTACACATTTTGATAAATTTTTATGATGTTAAGTGAGGTTAACATCATAACATGAACAAGTGATGTTAAGTTACCTTTTCTGTGAGGATGCAACTTGCCCTTTTTTATTCATGGGGATTTGAATTACATAACAGCTTTTTAAAATACTTAAATAATGAAAAATTATTGCAATCTAAACAAAATTTCTAGCCAATGCAATTTTTTTATTTCTTTAATTCAAACATATTCAGTTAAATTTATAAGGCACTTCTTCAAGATTGATTGATTGATATAAGATTGAATAAGAATTGCAGGAAATAAAATTCAAAATATTGCTTTGCATAACTATAACAATGGAACTTTACCCTAAAATAAACAAATACATTTCACTTTTCCATAATTAATTTCATTATTTCAAAGCTGGGACTAAAAAAAGTAGCGTTAAACATGCTGCTGTACTCATAATTGGTTCATGCTAGATCTCTACAACTTTGAAACGCATAATACATTGCTATAAATATTTTCTATGCAAAAGCTTAACATTTGCTCTTGATTCTTATGCTACTAACAACTTCTTTATTCAAAACCAGGAATATTAATACTTAGTCAATCAACAAAATAACAAATAATTTTAAAGGTCAACACATAAAATTAATTATCCGTTTCCAGTTACCTCATTTCAATCCGCACAGAAAAGACATGAGATACTTTCCAAATGAAAATAGCAATGAAACAATAAATTCAAATCAAATATGCAATAATAGGAATGATAATAATAGGAAGACATTACATTTGAGATAAATTAAAAGTAAAAATTAAAACATTTAAGATTTTAAAAATTTCAGTATTTTCACTCAAGGCAATACAGCAATTTAAAAATTTCAATTAGTTTTTTAAAAAAATTTAAATTCTCAAGATTTAATAAAATTCTACCTTGTAAAAGCTTTCCAGGTAACACTGCCTTCTGACAAAGAAGTGTCGACTGTTAAATGAACAGGATTATTTGTTTCACGGCTGTAGTAATCATGAATTAGAACGGAATGTCCAGTCACATCTGCACCAGTGGCATACCTTAAATGTAAACAATTTATTAATAAAGTAATACTTTAAAAAATTTTCACCCCTTCCTCTCAATTAAAAAAAAGTGGAATTTTACAAAATATGAGAATTATTTTGATTTAATATTTTATAACAATATAGTTGCATGAATTGAACCTAATTACTGTGTTAAGAGTTACTATGAGAAAATTAAAAAGGACAGTTAATAAAACTAAGTATTTACTTGACTTAGTATTTTAACTAAAACTTATATATAAGTTAATTATTTATTAAAATAACAATCATTATATATCCAGAATATTAACTATATGATTAGTGAATTTGCAAGATGGCACTTAATTCATAAGTTCTATGATAGTGAACTCTTAAAACAAGTACTGATTCCACTATTATTAATAAAAGAAAAACTATGTGAACTATATAAATATTTATATTAAATCGCAAAAAGTGCAATTTTACAACAATTCCATCATATAATAGTGTCTACACAATATTAATAATTGAAAAATAGAAGGAACTGAGTTTTAAAAGCTTTTAGGCAAAATTTTACTACATTAACATAATTAAAAGTATTTTTTTCATCTATAACGCGAGAATATAAAGACATGAAATACATCAGCATATCCGAACACCCAAGGCTCTCGCCTAGCAATCTGGGTGTCATGAGTTCAATTGTCTATCTTCCTCCTGATTTCTACAGAGACATCAATAGCACGTTGATATGTACATATGTAATTTAAGATTTTATGGAATGTTATTTTAGAACATTCATCTATGCTATTTCCATTAACTTATTATTCTAAGTATTGTACATTATTCTAGTTCATGTGCAAATGTCACTAACCTTGTTCTTTGTATTCTAAAATTCATGCATATATAATTACATATAAAGTTACACATATTTAATTTAAGATTTCAGATATTAAAGAAATGCTTTTTTAGAACATTCTCCAACATTATCCAGTTCAACATTATTTCAGTTTAATATTCTTGTACCTAAGTTGATGTGTTTCAAGTGCAAACATTAGTTACTTTGTTCTTCGTATTCTAAAATTATTGTAATAAACCTGTTCGACTTTTCTGACTAAATCCCCTCATTGTTACCAGACAATATTATTTCGATGATGTAGACATATGCACAGCTAAAAATATCTGTTGTATGAATGAAATATATATAAGCTCCCTTCTCTTACCTTGAAAAATAAAATATTTTTTCCAGAATAAATATAAATGACTTACCACCCAACAATCACTTCACTTGGATTAACCTTCTTATGTAATTCATACATTGCTTTAGCAAATTCCATATCTACAGCTACCTACATAATAAATATTTAATACAAAATTAAGAATAAAATCAAGTACATTTAATTGAGAATAGGTTATATTCATATTTATTAACTTATTTCAAAGGAATCTATCTTAAGTGTAATCATAACAAAACATCTTCAGCAGATGATTCCTTCTATTAATATTGTGAATAGGACTGGGCTATAAATCGATATATCGCGACATATCGATTTANAATATCGCCCAGTCCTAATTGTGAAAAACTATGGGCCTTACATTAAGTACAGGGTTTTAGAAAAGAATGACACTTAATAAAGCCTTCCATTATTTGACACAACATATTCGGATCGATGCTTTTATGGATTTTCGGTACTGTCCTACATGAAATAAAATAACGGAAACTCGTTTTAAAAGGTATTCCAGCATTCCTATTCTGGTTGTAAGAAAAAAACTGCAACTATTCCATTAACATAAATTTGTATACAATAAACATTATCATATCAATGCATTCCAAAACTTTTTATTTCTTTTCCCAATTTCTATTCATTTTATTTGTTTTATTCTATAACTATTTATCCCCCTAAAAAAGCAACATAGGATTAATAGAAAATTCAGAATCTTTAGAAATTATTGAGCCAAAAAAAAAAGTTTCAAGAAAGATTAAGATGCAACAATATTTGCTCTAAAACTGAATATTCAACTACCCATTAATATTAGAGCATTTCATAGACCAATCAAACTCAGTAATAATTAAATAAAAAGTCCAAGAAAAACTTGTAGCAAGTTTTAAAAAAACATATTTTCATAAAATAATTTTTCTACAATTTAAATGCTAAACTGACTTAAGTGCCAGAATACTTTTTTTTTTTTACAAACTTCTTAATAATTTAATTTATATCATACACATAAAAAACCCATCATTAATTTATTAAAAAAAAAATAATAACTAAATAAATACAGCAATTGAAATCGTCAAAAAATTGGAGTTGATTTTTGCTGTTTCAAAACCAAATAAATCACATCAATAACAAAATTGTTTACTTTGTAATTATTTTTGTCATAAAAAGTTATAGAATATTGTCATTAAGAATTGAATAGATTTCATTTGGATAAAATAATATTTTACAACAAAATATAGTGCTGAAAAATTTTAAATAGTTTTAAACAGAATAATTCTTATAAGATAAAACCAAGAATTTCATTACTTTAATTAAAGCCTTTAACTTTTTGAAAATATCTACATAAATTTAACTTCAAATTAAACATTTTCTGAGAGGAGATAAATATGTATGTAAAAAAGACAAACAAGTATTTATGAAATATAAATTCATTTGCACACAAGCAAAAAGTCCATTTTTTCTTCAAAAAAATCACCCAAAAATTAAAATAAAAAAAGTTTTAAAAAACTGTATGAAACCAAAATTGTAAAAAAAGGAATTTTTTTAAATTTTTTCTAGGACCATTCAACCCATTGACTGTATTAAATCTAACTGCAGACCGACAGTCATATTTTAACCTGCAGTTTTCTCCCCATAGCAAAACCAGTTTTTCCATGTCATTAGACAAAACTTAAAATTGTTGATACCGAAAGTTTTAGGCCCAGAAGCAGAAAGCGCCTAAAACTGTGACGTACGTCGCAGAACAAACTAAGTCCTGCAGAACAATTTGTATCTTGAATAAGTGACAATTACAGTGTTTTCCTGGGAAACCCCCCTACCTGCCTCCGGTAATCTTGCGATCATCATTTTTATCAAGAGAGCTTCTAAAGCAAACCGTAAAAGAATTAAACTCAGAGATTTCCAATTTCATAAAGTTTATGACTTTTATATTTTCCATTCCCATTTCAGAAGCAATTTGTAAATCGTGGGGATCCACGATTGACAGAATTGTTTCTAAAAGACCAAATGCTTTCGATGGAAATGATGTTGTTGGAACAATAAACCAGAGAATGTTTGTGTTTGCAAATGGTGCACCATCTGGGCACTTGTCACTTCGAAAGATTTCTAAGGCAGCCCTTATTTTAATGTTCGGACCTTATCATAGACATTTTATTAATAATTCATCATCATCTACAACAAAATTGTATACTTCAAAAGTGATTGAAAAAGTAACAAATCCAGAATGTTTGCCTTGGTTTAAAAAATAATGTAGTGTATCTGTGTATGATCCTGTATAAATGAAAATATAGTATTTTAACTTAAAGTTGACTTTTTTTTTGTTGCGAAATGCTTGCAGAACATTTGTATAAATAAGTCCTGTTGCAGAACATTTGAAAATATTCTGCTTATGGGGTTTTAGGAAGCTCGTAATTTTGAGTACGGAATTCTCAAACATTGTGTGTGAAATTTTTAAATATTGAGTACATAAAATGATAAAAAATTCTCTAAGAACATTTTACATTCGTTTCTTTCGTCACATGTGTGTGTTTTATAGAAACACATAAACATTTTATGAGAAAATTTCATGGATACAATAGTATTAGTATAAAAATAAAGATACTGAAAAGATCGGAAAATACAGTTTTAGTAAAGTCAAACAAGGAAAACAGGGATTTTTATCTTTTCTACAACAAATATATTAAATGATAAAAAAATGAACCACATTTCTTATCAATTTACATTTGAACCCCATATTGATAAAATAAATATCATTTTATATTTAAAACATTGCTTCAAAAACTTTTTAATATTATTGAATACAAAATAATATTAGTTATTGATTTTATTCTTAACTGATTTGTTTTCTCAACATTTAGTATATATTATATAATGAGAAGTTTTTCTAATTTTTATTTTAGTCAGAAGTTGCAAGGTTTAGTACAAAAGAAAGTATCCCTTAAGCTGAAGTCTTTCAAAACTAACACATGTTTTTAAAAACAAAAAGCCAGGAAATGCCCCTTAGCCTGTGGAAGCGGCATATATTTTTGATATATAAATCCATTCTTGCTCCCAAAAATTAAAATAGAAAAAATTGTACGAAACAAAAATTGCAAAAAAGGGATATTTAATTTATTTTTTAGCACAGTATTTAACCCATCGACTGTATTAAACCCAACTACAGACAGTCATATTTAAACCTGCAGTCTTCTCCGCATAGCAAAACCTGTTTTTCCATGTTATTAGATAGTTACATGTTACATTCTCCCAATTTTGCTTTTATTCAAAACTGTCAGGGGAGTTAATTACCTTCACAAAATATTTAAGATATAATTATTGTATTTGATTATTTCGGGTGTATGTTTAAGTACATGTCAAACAGTTAAGCACATTTAAAACAACCTTCACTTTAGCTAATATATATATATATATTGGTACATTAAAAAAAAAAAAAAACATCCTGAACTTTTGATGCAATTATCTGATTTTCACATTCTAGGGCTCAATCTTAAGTGGTTTGCAGTCTCAAATATACTAATTAGTTAGTGCACAAGAAATAGGTTACAAAATCAGGCATAAAAACATACTTTCTCTAAATAAATATACCTTTCTTGACATATTTGGATTCCTGACATTCAAATTATAGGGGGCGGTCACAATCTGGGAAATATGGTCCCAATAGTTAAGCAATAAGGGCAGTCGAAAAAGTGAACCCCTTAATGAATCTTTTTGCGTATTTCACTATACCTCAAGAGCTGTTTATGCAAATTGGAAAGTTTTTGAGCACAATTATAAAATTTGTTTATTCAGAAATAATCTCACACAAAAAATTTTTTAAGAATAATTCATAAGTCAAATTCCCTTTATTACAGAAAATTTTTAAATGTAAAGTATACAAATTTTTACATAATTTTACAGAATATAATTTTTTATATGTCAAAATATGAAATTTTTTTCATTCTTACAAATGTATTATTTTACTTGTCCATATTTGCTTTATTCTCACTTGATATTTTTTAAGCCTGGCCCTTAGAATTTTGCATTTTATTCATGTAAGTATGCATTATGCTGAAAGCATAATAATGAAAAAAGTTACACTGCCTTCAGTAGTCATGCTTAAGTTACAATGTACGGAACTGATATAAATTGATCAGAAAATAAAGTTTTTAAAATTTTAGTATACTATAAATAAGTTTTGAAATATATCTGGTACAGAGCAGGGGCCTTTAGAGTCCTATAAAAGCAGAGCCTAGAGCAAATGCCATAAGAAAATAAGGAGACTGGTTTAAACTTGAAATCAATGTGCATCAATTTTTTTGTGAAACTCATGAATGAGACAAGTCATTGAAGCAGGTAACTAATCTAATTCTATACTAACAACAATCTTACCTCATCTTCTGACTCATTGTGAGGAATACATAAGCAATTGGTGACTTCTACGGCTCCCTTTTCATGAATACCTTAAAAATAGAGATAGAAATTATAACACATCATATAAAACTTAAAATAACAATTAGTTTTAAAAGACAACACTTCTTTAACTTTCCTTAAGTTTTTTCCTCAGTTCAGCTATAACTCATTTTATATTTAAGTAATTTTTAAATTTTTCATATATCTCTACAACAGTTTGACTTTAATGCTATTATAATTATAGGTTCATGTAGCGCCTATATAAATTATCTGACAATATTAAATTTCATTTTAAGTTTCCTTTTTTAAAATTAGATCATTTAAAGTATCTGTCAATTTAAATTTCATAAAATACACAGGGTTCATATTAAAATAGGCTAAATTTGTAAGGAAACTTTTACCTTTAATGGTCGAAACGAATTAAAACGCAATGATAAACAGATCTGAACTCAGCAAAATTATTATTTTCAAATTTTAATGTGAATTCAGCTAGTCAATAACAGAAACAGAGCAAATTTAAAAAATTTATGTTGATTATTAGTTTCTTAAGGGCCGCTGCTCAGCAGTTGCCAAGACTTGGCAATTATTCTGAAACAAATCACAATACGGAAATCTCCCCCTACCTATTGTTTAAAAAAATAAGGAATGAAATAGTATAAGCAAACAAACCGCTTAAGTTTTCTATCCAAACATTATGTGATAATAATGCAGCATTTCCTCTGGAATTTTTAACCGGTTTTAAAACACTTTTAACAGAAAAAGTACTAAATCTACATAGAAATACAATATTTTTCAATCTTAAGTATTCTAATATTTAATCTTAGGCATTTTTAGATGTGTGTGTTTAACTATTTAATAGCTTAGTAAACTATACACTTCTTTTATTCTAAAAAACAATGAGAGAGAAAAAAATAAAACAAAATAAAAAGTCACGATCTATGACAAACCAAGTAGTGTGCCGATAACTCGATGTTGCAGATCATTTCTTCGCTCATATGAATCAATTATAGAAAATAATACTACAGGATGGATTTTTACGGTTAGATTCGCTGCACCAGAATTCATTGTTATCAACTATAATTAAACTTTAATTTCATAAGAATAATTTGTTCCTTTGGAATAAAACCAAAATACCACGATTCGGAATCAACAAGCGTAGTTGAAGTTGCAGTCGTGGTACAAGAAAATCGCATTCACTTTATTTCAAATCGAAAGAATCATATAATTGCAGTTAAATATCACTAATGATCTTCTTATAATATTTAAATGGAAATTGATGGATTACAGTATAATGAACGGAATAAACGGAAAGAAGATTTTTCGCTTTGATTATTGCAGATTTTACGAACATAAACTTTAAAACTCAAAGGGCATTCCTTTTAATATGAACTCAATCTGAAAAATCTTAATCAAAAAACATCGCAGTCCCTTTTTTTTATTTACACTTGAAATTCCAACTAGACGATAAATAAAATTGACTTTGATAGTTAAATGGATATATCTAGATTAATTTTGCTGACTTATCGAATCATTTAAAAATTTGGCCAAATTTGATATTAATATTATATTAATTTGATATTAATTCATTGTATAAATATTTTTAGGTATTCAATATGTTTTCCTAGATTGTTTTAACTTTATTTTTATGTTTTAATTTTAGTATTTTAAATTGTACTTAATTTCCTATGTATTAATTCACACTCAATAAAAACATGAAGAATAAAAATTTATGATTTAGTAAATTAATTATGAAATCTGAACAACTGTGTAATAAGTATATTTATTAGTTCTCTACAATCACAACTGATTCATGGATACTAACAAAGAGTGCATAAAAAAGTGTGTCTAGTTTTAAAACTTTAAGAAATTCATTTCAAATAAATGATAAAAATTTTAATATTGACCTCAGAGAGTTATGGTTTTAGATAATCATAAGTCGAATCTTCTATAAACACAGACAAGCACCTTTTTTAATTACTGTAGATTATCTTAATTTTGCCTATTTATCTCTAAAATATTTACTGGTATATTATTGTAACACAAACATCTTATATATTATAAATGCCATTGAATTTTTAACGTTGACTGGGTTACAGAATCAAAGATCTTCTATTAACTGAAATTTTTAAATAATTGTAAGTTGAAACAAAGTGAGAGACAAGTAATTCCTCACCATTTTTGAATTTAAATATTTTGTAACCTTATATTTTTTGTTCTAACCAAATGATAATTTACTTCTTTGTGTGTTTTACAGATTAATTTATATTAGTTTACATCTCTATTGTTAAAATATATACATATAGCAGAATCAAAACATAAATCTTTTAAATTGTTCATTTCTTATGAAATAATTATTTTTAATTCTTTTTTTAGATTTTTTTATTAATTTCTAACCAGGATGCGTCTTCTCATCTTGTAAAATATATTAGATAATTTCATAGGACACTATGTACCCATATAACTTTTTTTCGACCTTCCATCATCTAATGTATTTAGATTATTTGGAGATGCATCATATCATAAGCAAAATTCCATTTCTGAAAACGTTCAAATTATAATTCCTTGTTTAAATTTTTGATCTGGAAAGTTTTTTTTTTTAGTGTATGATTCTAGATTCCTTTATTTATATTATATGATTTAAAATCTACAATTTAGTTTTCAAATAGATGGTTAAAATGTTTTCAATTTCATTGTAAGAATTATATTTATTTTGATATGAACAAATATGCCTCATTTGCTTAGGGTATTGTTTGAACCCCTGAAATCAACACATGACTGCAGCTTTAGCATGACTGCAACATTTTAAATTACCATTCTATTTTCATTCCTTAAAATATTTAATATTATTCCACTTACCTAATCAAAAATGCCATATTTTGTGTATTATAATATAAAACTTTCTGAAAATGTACAGAAAATAATTTTTCACTATTGCAAATATCTCTTCATTACACATAATTTTTTTTTCTGAATTTGTTATATATTTTAAAATAAAAGACACTGTTTTTTTTTCTTATCCTCATATTATTTGATCTAGTTATATTTAAATATTTTATCTTACATCTTGCAGCATATCGATTCATTTTGTCTTATAAGTCTCACCATGAGTAGTGATTCAAGTCAGGTTTTGAAAGATGATGTCAAAAGAAGTAAATTTAACACTTCTTCAGACTGTGCTGAAGCCATGCTTGAAAAAATGGATGGGGAATATTTAATAACTGACGTTTGCGCCAATTTAACAAATAAAAAATTTGCTCGGGATGTTGACAGTGTGATTCAGCGGTCTAAAAATGCTGGTAATTTTTGTGACTTTTTAAATCCTTTTATTTATCTATTACTTTTTATTCTTTTAAATTGTAAAAGTTCGAGAAAAATTACTGAAATGTATTTAATTCAAATTAATATTTGCTAGTGTGATAAACTACTTGTTTATTTACTTTATTCTCGATGGAATGACTTTTTAAATGGTCGTCTTAGACATCCATTTTTAAATGAAAGGGAGAAAAAATTAAAATACTTTGCTACAATAGTTTTCAAAATTTCTAGTTTGGAAAAATTCTTCGTCTTTCTTTCTTTCATGTGTTAAATGCATTCAAAACTTTTTTTTGTGTGAATGAGGTGCCAGAATAGGAATAGTTTGACCCTTTGATTGTTAGTCAACACTTCTTCTGTGCCTAATGAAAATAACTTTCAAACAACAACAAAAAAAATTTCTTTGTTAAATGCCAAAAGTTATGCAACTTTTTTTGTGTGAATGAAGTGCCAGAATATGAATAGTTTAACCCTCTGATTGTTAGTCTCCACTTCTTCTGTGCTTAATGAAAATAACTTTCAAACAGTTAAAATTAGTTTTTCCTTGTTAAATCCTAAAAATCCTTGTAAAAAATTTTTTTTTCAACTTTACTCTTGTTACCATCCAAATATATCTGATTAAGAAGTCTATTCTAACTAATTATAGTGTCAATTTTAGTGTGTGTGTTCGTTTTATTTTGATTTTAATATTTATACTTTTTGAATCTATTATAAATATCAAAATTATATTACTTTTTGATATTTTGTTTTTATAAATTTCTGTGGTTTTCTTTTATTTAGGAATAAAGAAAATTATTGTTTCGGGAACAAATATTGCCTCAAGTAGAGAAGCTCTGCGTTTGACTAGATTATATCCTGATTATATATATTGTGCAGCAGGTATTTTATTATTTGAAATGCTAAATTCTAATATATTAAAAAAGTGGCAATAATTGACAAAAATGAGGTACTGCACATAAGATGTTTAGTTGACTATTACCCTTTTGAAAAAAAAAGAAAACTTATGTCAATTTATATAGTATGTGTATGCTGTCAAACTATGTACATGGATTTCTTTTTTATTTATTTTTTTTTTTTTTACCAAAAAGGTAATAGGTCTACAATATGTAAGCTATAATACTTAACTAATTACCATATATAATAAGAAGTATTTTAATAGCTTTTAAATTATTTGATTGGTACAATATTTTTTTTAATAATCATTTTATCTTCTTATTCATTTATTTATTTTTGCTTTTGAAGGGTAAATTTCATGTGTGTTCTTAATTATAGTACATCATTCTATGTCATTTTATATTAGTTTTATGTATAGTAATTCATGTTGATCCTTTTGAACAATTTTTTTCATGTTGATGAAAATAATTTAAAAGCAAGAAGTATAGATGCTCCAAAATCTTACTTGAATTGAAATTTATTTAAAAAGCTTGGATCAGATCGTCAAATCCATACTATATCAAAAATAATTTATTATTTTTAATCTATTGTTTCTTGAAGTATCAACCCCAAACTCAATTCAGGATGCAACATGGTTAATTTATATTTAAAAAAAATTTTAATTAAAAAACAATTAAAGTTTTGCACACCTTATTATTTTTTTAAATAAATCCTCTAATTACTTTCGTTTTGAAATTGTTCCAGTTTTTTTTCCTTATTAAAAAAAATTTAAATGTCAAAAGCTTTTAATCTTTTGATATCTTATCACCTTTATATTTATTAGTTTTAATGTTTCTATCCCTTATTTTTTTCAAAGTTTCGTTAAACAAGTTTAAAAAACGGTTATAAATTTTTTTTTATACTTATTATGTAAATTTTATCAACCTATTTTTTGTTACAAACTGAGGTCATGTATTGACCTCCAGGTCTTCAGAGCTGCACCCCTCGTATTTAGTAAAAATCTTTGGATTCTGAAATGTGTTCTCCTGTAAATTTTCTTAGAAAATTAACTTTTCTTTTTATTTTATATATTTATCCCCATTAAAATAGCTTTTAAGCTATAAAACTAAATATTTAGATTTTTTTCTTCTTAGGAGTTCATCCTAATGAAGCAAAAAATTGGGATGAGGACTTTGAAGAAGAATTGAAAGATATTCTTTCAAATCCAGAGTGTGTGGCTATAGGACAATGTGGCTTGGACTATAGTAAAAATGTTTCTGAACAGTCAGAGCAAAAGGAAGTATTGATTAAGCAGGTACTATCTTAACTCCTCAGTATTATAGATTCAAATTTTATATTTATTAGGTTCTCACACTAATATTGGTTAAATGCAAATTAATGTCCATAGTAGTTTAATAAGTGTGTTTTAATTGTCTAAAATGCAGAGTCCAATGAGAGGGAGTGTGGATCCAAACGGAATGTTTAGAAAAGTCTTCTTAATATACAGGATACTCATCAAAGTATTTGAAAACCCACTTGACTTTCAAAGCAGCTAAAGATATATTTATAAAAGTGATGTCTAGGTGCTTTGAAGTAGCTGTGAAGCTTCAAAACTTCTTTATGCTTTGTGCATAAACATAAGGTGGCTCAAACTTTCAACTTCTATTTTGACTAAACTGCTGGGACCATATTTTCCACATTGTGTCTACCACATTATTTTGACAGTTAAGAATCTAAATCTGTTGAAAAGAGGTACGATTAATCCGACAAAGTACATTTTTGTGTCTGATATCATAACTTTATTAATATTTAGCACCAATTAGTTAGCATATTTGAGTTCCCATCTTTAAATAATTTAAACCGGTATTCAATTTAAGAAAATGTAAACATTTCAATAAAAGTTATTTATAGTGATATCTTTTTTATTTTGCACATTGTACATCACAAATTAATTATCCTGTGGTTACTAGTTTTTACTTTTTTTTTAGTCAGTTTATTAAGATTATTTCTTCAGATCGCAGTGTAGGATACTCTGAACAAAAAAATTAGCATTTAAGTTGCTCTTTTCTTAGATGTCTTCTGGGTATTTATTCTTACTAAATCATTGATCATCTTAAACCTAGTAATTCACTTATCCCACATATTTTGTAACACTGACTCCACAGTTTACCAACAACTGCTGCTAAAAATAATCTCATCTCGTAGCGCATAGCTACATTTTTACACCTAGTCACTAGCTTAAAACTATATCTGCTGATGACAAAAGTTAACAGTTTGGATAGGGACTGTAATGGACTCCTTGTGCAGTGTGCAAAATAAAATAAAAATGACCACCTTGAATTACTTTTAATCTAATGATCAGATCTTCACGTACTACTCAGTCTTAAAGGTAAGATAGGATGACCTCAAATATGCTAATTAATTAGAGCAGACAATAGACACAAAAACATACTTTCTCTGAATAAACATACCTTTTTTTTCTCGAAGGATTTGGAATTTTATCCACCAAAAATACGATTTTTTCAAAATGTGATTTCTCAGGAACTATTAGACGGATTTTGCTCAAATTTTGTACTGTGCCATTTAAAATTGCAATTTTTAAAATGATATAGAAAATTTTATTCCTTGTGATTCAAAAGTTTTATTTTGCATAAAATTTTATTGTAATTATAAACAAGTAATATGAAATAATAAACAAATTTTAGAAGTCTGTGTAAAAAAATTTCCATTTGCTTAAAAAGTTCTTGACTTATGGTGATATATGCAAAAAGTAAAATTAACATGAAGGAGCCTAAACTTTTGGAAGCTCTCCTGACCGAACGATACGAACCATATTTCTCAGATTGTGGCTTCTTCCTATATTTTGAGGATCAGAAATCTTAATCCGTCAAAAAAAAAGTTATGTTTATTCAGGAAAAGTATGTTTTTTTATTTTTTATTTTGTAACTTAAAATATTGTCTGCATTAATTAATTAGACTATTTGAAGTCACGCCCTCGAACCATTAAGATTTAGTCCTAGAACATGAAGATCAGATCATTACATCAAAATTTATTCAGTGTGTCAGTTTTTTTTTTCTACACTGCACATTTCCTTAATTTATCCTAGATTAATGGAAACGACTTATCTTGAAATTAATATAACCTTTTCTATCTTGATGGTTGCTGAATCTAAAATGTAGTTATTAATATTTATTAATGAACGTTCATTTTACAGCTGAAGCTGGCTAAGGAGTTGAAAAAGCCAATTCTTATAAGTGAGAGGGATGCTCATAATGATTTATTAGAAATACTGAAAAATAATTCTTCTAGTCTGCCAGATATTCTAATCCATTCTTTTTGTGGAAAAGTAGAAGAGTTAAAAGCCTATCTTTCCAGTGGCTGTTACATTGGTTTGACAGGTAATTTAAGATGTTTTTTATTTATCAGTAGTATAAATGTTTCCTGAAAAAATTATTATTATTTATTTATTAGTTTTTTGAATTTTTACCGAGATAATTTTTATGACTTCATGACTATTTTTTCTCATTTCCATCATAGTATTTGATAATTTAAAAGAAATGTCAATTTCCTTTTTTTCGAAGTTTTTGATTTTTATCAACATTGTATCTAGTCTAATAAGATTATTCATTTTTTTTTAAGAAGTTTCTTTTTATTACCTCCTTAAAAACAATTAAAACATAATAATTTTTTTCTGAACTAATGTTTTTATTGTTATTATTGTAACAGATTTTGTATTTTACTAAATGAAGTAATATTGAATTCATATTGTGATTAGATATTATTAAACAAATGCCAGCCATTGACTATTAAGTCATTAGGCTTCTAGCTCTCCAGTACTTCTTAATAATAAGGCACAGCAATCGCGGCTCGTCCGGAGTAACATAAAAGACAATCTGATGAAGTAGTCAGCTTGAGACAAAATGTATTGTGTATAGTATAATGTTTTGCTTTACAAAGCATTATATTGAAAAAGTTATTTTGTGTAATTTTTTAATCGTATTTAAATTGCCATTTCATGAGTTGCAGTGAAAAACTATCATTATTAACAATAATCTAACCACTAAAATAAATATTTAAAATCCTAAACATTGCAATGTAATTCATAATAGTTGCAAACATTTATATCAATTGACAAAAAAAACATACCTGGCTAATGCTTTATGAAGTGCAATTTGAACCATCTTAATATTTCAAAACAAAAGGAATTTGGAAGATAAAGAGAAGCTGGTAAATGTTGTTTGCTGGTCACTTATTCCCGAAATATAGTACTCAGTTTTGAGAACAGATTAATGAAATTTTCTTCTTAAAAATGAACACACTGCCTGCATAGGCACCTGTTTTTCAGAAATTTTTTTTGTTGTCAACATTGGTGATAGTAACTACTCTGTGCATGTTGGTAAATGTGGGATAATGATTAGAAGAGTGGGAAAAGCAAGGGTTTGGACTTAATACCTTTTAATGTTTTAATTTTTTTTTTTAATTTTAAAGTGCAGCTGCCTGGTATAAATTTACCCAGAATTCTCTACATTGATGTTAAGGAAATGCCCTGTTGTTTTTGATTATTCGTGGATTTTCATACTAACTTTGAAGTGATGCTCATGTACAAGATCTTTATTAACGTTTATTTTAGGTTTCATTGTGAATGCCCAGAAAGCTTTTTCACAAATATTTAAAGTTTTAAGACTTTTCGAATTAAAGTTAATTTTAAAGTGAGGCACAAAAACTTATGTCGGCTGGGTTCGAGATTACCATTTTTAGTTAGAGGCACGTTTTGTTTTGCATAGAGCCTGCTTGGGAATGTTAACTTCGCTGTATCCTTAAGAGGTAAATTTGTTGTACCTGAAAAGATTTTATGGGAGTGCAAAGTCAAGTGTTTGTTACATGCATTTGCTAAAGCGATGATTAAGGTTTGGTATAATTTTAAGCTATTTTGAAAAAAAGAAATAGAACTCCATAAATGAGTAACTTCAATGTGTTTATTATTGTATACTTTTTGTACAGCTAACTGCTAACAAAATTGCTGCCTGGGGGATCAATTATTTATTTACAAAAAAAAATTATGATTTAGTATTAATAAGAATGTGCACACGATGTTTGTAAAAGTAGAAATATTTTCTTAGAATGCTACATTTGGAATTTTAAACTTAGGGCTACTTAGTTTTTCTCGAACCGTCTTTCTCCCCCCCCCCTCCGGGATGCGTTTATTTGATTAACAAAACAATAATGAAGCTAAACAAATTTTAGAAGGGTCCGATTAAAAGATAAATTATTTTGTGAAGGGTCCGTTTTATGAAAAGATATTTTGTAAAGGGTCCGTTTTTAGGAAAAGATATTTTGTGAAGGGTCCCTTAATGGACCCAAACTTCTTCTGAACAGACCCCTGGCAACAGTAATATTAATGTAATTTTATTAATTTCTTATAATTTGATTGAATATATTTTTTAAGGTTCTGTTTGGAAGGACAAATCTGAGGAAGGTTTGAAGAAAATCATTGAGGATAACCTGGTGCCACTAGATCATCTCCTGATCGAAAGTGATTCACCATTTATGTATCCAAACACCAGAGCCAGTCAAATTCCTGCATCAGTCAAAGAGAAACTAACTGAAAAATCTTTGAGCTTTCTTCAAAGATATTGTACTTTTCAAAGGAATGAGCCCTGCTCTCTTCCTGTGACTATTGAAATGCTTGCTGCATTCTATAAAATTCGACCTGATGAAATGGCTCTTCAAACTACCTATAATGCCTTAAAGTTATTTGCATTGACCTAATATAGAAAACTTTTATAGATGTATATTTCTCATGTCTTACAAGCATTTGATATTTCTCTAAGATTTAAAATGTAGTGCTATAAATGTATATTTAAAATGTAGTGCTACAGGATTATTTGTAAGATCCTATAAGCTATACAAAAGATGCAGGTAATTTACGATTGCCCCATATTGAATCGATATCCGCATAGTTTCAATTCAGTTAAATTTCATTTGCTTAATAAAATTGCCCAATTTAATTACCAAATGAAAATTATGTACATAATTTATAGGACTCTAATTATGAGTATTCAAAAATGTATTGGGACTTTCTTCTTCTGATCCACTATAAAATTTTATCTTTTTACCACTTTAAATATAATGTAATAGCTCAATATTTTTATTTCTTAAGCAATATACATGTTATGATCATGGTGAATTAATGTTTAAGAAAAAAATTTTTGTTTTTAGAAATGATTTATAGTTTAAGAATTGTTGTTAGTCTTCAAATAAAACAAAATAATGATAAGTTAAGAGCGATTACCATTGTGTTTGTCTAAAAAAAATAATAATAACACTTGTTTTCTTTAGGGATATTTATTGCTAGCATATTAAGTCCAGTTTAATCTCTGTTTAACAGTGCTCTATTTAACAACCACTTTTATCTTCATGATCTTATGTTTGCAGTCTTCATAGTTGAGAAAGGATTAAATTTTTTAATGTGTTAAAAAAATCTTTTTATTTTTTCATTTCAGCTAGCCAATTTTCGTTGAATGGAAACTAGTTTTAAAAAATAGCTTAAAAATCAAAGTTTATCATTCAATAATCATGAATGCAAACCTATTAATTTCTACTATTTTTTAGGATGATTTTCCTGAGTGGTAATGAAAGGACAATTGAATTAAATTTGTGAGCAGAAATTTTTCTAGAGCTTCAGTGCATGTGTATATTTTATTTATTTATTTGTATGGTGGTAAAAATTATTTTAAATTAAATTTATAAGCAATGAAACTTTTTTTCAAATTTAATATAGAAGAAAATTTAAGAAGTTATCTAGTCCTGTTACTGTTAGAAATGTCGCTTTGAGAAAACACCATTTAGAGTTGTCTAAACCTGATTCTATTATTATTAAGCAAAATGTATTGTGATTTTTTTTTATTTATACAAATAGTTTAATGTTTAAAAAACTCAAATTGTTTTTAATTTTTCAGTGGTAATCCTAATTAATAACAAAATACTTTTTCAAAATAATTTAATTTATGATAATTATAAAATTGTTATTACCAAAGATATACAGAGTACCTGGTAAAAGTTGAATCCTTATCCTAGCTAGTTCCGAGAACCTAGTAAAATTTAGATTATCAGGGTAGGCCGTGTACCGAGAAGTTTTCGAGCACCCGGTACATCACTAATTATGAGTTTTCTTTTATTTATCTATAATATATCAAAAGCTGTGCATGCTTTACTGATATAATTTATTTCAACTAAAAAATTAGATATCTATTTTCACTCTGTATTTGTACAAGTTAGTTAAAGGTTGAGCTTGATTTTATTGTGAAAAAATTTGAGCTATGTATGACAACCAAACAAAATATTCATCTTATCAAAAACCAAACACTTCACCTTCTATTTTACAAGCTCACTACTTATAGGTAAATCTTCACATTGGCAGTTTTTCTGAATACTCTATCATAAATTCTCTAACGAAGAAGGTAGTATTTGTTTATTTTGCTATCCAAAATATAAACTTTTTGTTTAATTTCCTTTTTTTTTCATTAAATATTGAAAATAAATCAAACAGCATCATTTTTAGAGATGTTTTTTGATTTGCTCAAATTGAGAGATTATTTTTGTTTTGTAAAAGTGAAGATAAAAAATTTTATTGTGGAAAAATAAGTGTTTAACATTTGTGTTCGCACATAAGTGTTTTATACACGTAATTTTTATTATAATACATAATTTTATTATAACACATAAGTGTTTTAAATTAATATGTGCCAAAAACAATTTTGTAATTTCATTATTTTTTATTTGTAAATATGATTTTTGAATGACTTAATAAATTTTTACTAATTATTACAAACTCATTAAATTATTTGTATGAAATAATTATTGCTAATAATTTTATCTGTTTTGTGAAAATTACTTGAATATAGTTGATGTACGTAAAAAAAATTATATTAGCATGTCTAACATGATTCTGAAAATTTACAATAATTAAATTAAATATGAAAGTCAACTTTTTCACACAAAAAATTTTTGTTGCTGAAAGTATTTATGAAATATAAATTGTTATGAAACTTTATGCTCTCAATACCATATGTAAGAAGCATTTTTCTTTTGATCTTTTTTATAATACTTAAAATGTGGCCAATTAATATTCTGATTCATTAATGTTGCTCATTTTAGCAGAATATAGTCAAAGCAACAAAAACAATATTTGAATTAATATGTTTTGACATCGTGCAAAGGTAGTTTGGTACATTTTTTTAAACATTATTTCTATCAAAATGTTCAATCAAAAATTATTTTTATTGAAGGTTAAAAATTGTTATAGAGATAAAACCTAGGAAAAATTTTACTATTTGAAGTCAAAAGAATATGTCAAGTATTTTCATAAAATAGTAAAAATTGAAATAAAAGTTTCTTTAATCACTCTAGTAAAAATAGCATTATTTAGACTTGATTAAAATGGTTTATATTGTATGAAATAAATTTTAATTAAAATTAATAATACAGTGTGGTTTTGTATTAATTAAGATTTTTAGTTTTACGAAACTAATTTATTTAGTTTTTACTCAGGAAATTATGCCTGTTTCTAATATATTTATTCAATATTTCTGGGCAAAAATTAAAATAATGCATCATTAGAGGTAATATTTTTTCTATTATTTAGTATAATTACACAAATCTTGCAACAATTTTTTTTTTCCTTTTGATTTGAGCCTAAAGAACAAATCTTTTTATCTAATGTTTCACATTCATTTTTTTTCCCTTTCATTTTTAACATAAAAATAAATTATTTATGAAAAACTTAAAATGTAAGCAAGATTTTGACGCCTCTTTCTACTATCTTGAAAACTTGATATTCCTATTTAGTACAAATCTAGCGTTCATCTTCCACATTTTATGTAAAAATTGATCGAACTGATTGATATTTTTATAAAAATTTTTGAACTAATTTTCATCTCTTTGTCTGAGATGCTTTCTCGTCATTTTAATGATTAGTCAATATGAATTTTATAAACATGTGGATGATCTAATATTTTATTAACGAATTCTAAAATCTGTATTTTAAAGTTTTATATCTATTGAATATCACTAGAAATGAATATTCATTGTACAGTATATTGTTATACATTTAGCGATAAATTTGTATTAATTTTTAAAGTTGTAAATATACCTGTTACGGTCATGTATAGATAAAATTATAATACATGGTGCTATATAGTTAGTTATCTTTTTAAATTTTTAAACTCAGTTAAAACTTTGTGACTTGTAATTTTATTGAAATCATGCAACTTTTGTAAAAGTGGAGTAGATATAGTAACTATTCTTGTTAATGCTTTTTAGATTTGGTGGGGACAAAAACACTGTTGACTCTGCTACTCTGTTTAATGCTTTGAAGTAATAATTTACAAATACTCTACATTTTTATATAAATTATATAAAATGTTGATCTCTATAGATATTTATATTTTTGAGATAAATAAATATTATTATGAATTTTGTGGCTGGTCTTTTGTGTTAACAAATATATAAGGTGCAATAACATCTTAAATGATATGAGGTTGCAGAGCATTTTTTTAATACTTCATAATTTGTTTTTATGATGTGCTGAAACATATAATCAGTGGTTGATTTTTTTCAAATTAATAATGTTTACCATTATGACTAAGTATCTCAATATATTTTTATTATATTAAGTTCACAAGTTTTTGTTTTTAATGCTTGTGAAATCCATGTTTTTATTTATTTATTTTAAAACTTTTGACTTAATTCATTTTATCAAAGTAACAGTATTTTTGAAAAATCATTCACATAGTAATTTTCATTCTAGTTAATACTGTTATATGCTACAAAGATAAAGTGACCACATTTTCATTGAGACAAAGCGAGACAAATGGGATGAAATGATAATTACAATTTAATTATCTATAATTTATTGTATACATTCAGATACTTGTACAAAAATGTATTTATTATTAATTATTGATAACTATAAAAAAATATTTGTAAAAAATAATAATTTGAACATCATGATTTTTAATCAAATTAAATTTTTTATTTAAAAAAATTTATGATTTTCTTTCACGGTCATATTTTTGATCCAAGTGAATACTTTGCAATAGATTCGGATCATTTATCAAAATGTCGTGAAATATTTTACATGAATTCATGTACGTATCGTACATTCCTGTACATTCGTAAAATATAATTGTGTAAAATATAATGTAATTTGAATGGTCAAATTATATTTTACACTTAATATAGATTTTAAAGTTCAACTGCGTTTTTTCAATTGTCCATATTTTATTGATACTAGAAAAAACACATTCTGTTACTGCATTTGTTCCTGGAAGGGAGAGCGTGAATTCTACAATTTTCAAAATATTTTGATAAGGAATATTATTCTGTTTAAAATGAAGGAATAACTCCGTCCATTTTTTGTCTGTTTCCACATTTGCAGACAACCAACATTTAATTTTTTCATCTGTAACATATCTTTTTACCAATGACACCTCATCAAAAAGATCATTTTCGCAAATATTATTTTTCGGAAAATGGTTACTAATATATTTAAAAGATTTTTCCACATATTCCCATAAAATCTCCTTTTTAATGTCATTGAATGAAAATTTTGAATATCTTCGAATTAAATTATCCATTCTTCAAGATATTCCAAGCAGTTATTGTAAAAAATTTTGACATGTTTCAAAAAATCAGGTCGTTTAATAGCACCTTGTTCATCCAACCTAGTGATGTCTTTTCGAATAATTAAAGAAATGTAATCGTTATCAATTCTTTCTCGTAATTTTGTTTTTAAATTATTGATTTCATTTGACACTTCCGCAATTGAAATTTTGTCCCCTTCAATAATTTTCACAGCATTGTGAAATAATGTAGCTTGGTTGTGAATGAACTGAAGCCAAATTTGTGATGTGTCATTTTCAAAAAAGAGCTGCAATATTCTTGGACATTTATCTTGTCATAAAAAGTATGATTTTAATGGTTCGTATATTTTTAAAATATTATCTACAGCTGGTAAAAGAGGTAGCTGTCGTGTTTTGCTGTAACCAAGAATTCTTTTGTATTCGATTTCTGCGCTTTCACAAAAATCCTTCAAACTTTATACAAGCACAATATAGATATATATATAAATACGAATAAATCTTTGCAATAATATTTTCAACATCAACTGGAAGTGAGTCAGATGCTGTTTGAATAGTATTATGTAGAATGTGCGCTGCACAACCTATTCCAATAATTTTTTGGTTCAAATGTTCGTTAAATTTCGTAAAAAACGTTATTGATGCCTCTTCTAGCTTTTCCACCAAAATTTGCGTTAGTGTTATCCGGACTGTAGGCAATAATTTTATTGTTCAAATTATTCTTTTTAAAAATAGTACGAATAATCAAAAATTATTTGTGAGGTTTCCCCCGGCAATGAAACAAAATCTAATATTCTAATTTTAATTCCTGTTTCTGGATCAAAAAATCTAACAATTGTGGGAAATAATTTTAAATCTTTGTGGTTGGAAGAATCAGAATATATAGAAGAATATAAGAATCAGAATTTCTAATTTTTTCTGCAATTGTGAAAACGAATATGGTGAAAAAACATTACAAATAATTGGTTCGGTTTTTGTCTTTGCACATGCAAATTTTTTGTCGTATAATGTTTTGAACACCGTAATCACCGTTTGAACCGAGTAAATCTAACTTTGGTACATTGCCTAAATTAGTTTACTCTGCATTCATTTTATGTTTTTTTTAATGTATTTTTTATTTCTTTATATTTACCATAATACTTAATAAATAATAGGTAATATATTTTTACAGTACATTTAAAATAAGAAATGCAGATATTTTCTAAAAAGCGGGACATTTTTAAAAATCTGCGAGACGCGG